TAGATTGAGAAAGATGAGATAATTGTTTCTTTGAGGTTTCTCACCGTTTTGCCAGGACGCCTCGGGTCGCGGCATGTAAATACGTGTACAGAAACGTGTTGTAAAATAAGGCTTTGATCTTCAACTCATTTTTTTCCATTTCTCAAAAACAGAAATGATGATAATGCCTTTTCTGCAGTTTTCATAGTCTTTTTCACACAAAATACGGGCTGCCTTCAAAGAATAATACTAGAGGCGCCCTCTTTGTACATGTATGCTGTAAATATCATATGTAACATACCACAGTAATTGTACTGTGGCGATCGAGTCTCTGCCATTAATACAACATCTTTGAAGATTTACAACTGATTGTTTGTCTAGAAAAGCTTCATTTAAGTTCATTTGGCAGAAACAAAAAACAAAAAAAAGCTGAACCTATTAATCAATTGGACAGACAATCAGGATACAAGACATGGTGAGAAACAAAATTATTTCACTCCTATATATGCGGTTTTGGGTGAAATATATCTAGAAATGAGATGATAACTTATGGAAATAATCACTTAACAATCACTAAACAAACTTAACATTGGACTTGGCTTGTACCTTACTTGTCAGACCTTCGCATATGAAATTTTAAATACTGTAAAATATCCTTTTAAGAATATCATGATACAAGATGACCAGGTCTTACTACATATTCAGGGCCTGTTGCACTACATGGTCTAGTGAGACATGAATATTCGTTCACAGACTAGACACAGCTCGCATACTCATTGTATAAGTTGTTTTGCTGCCTGATGGCCAAAGTTTAACAGCTGGGAAGGGTCATTTTGCGTAAATGCACACACGTTTAGTGGAAATCAATAGACAGACCCTTTAATGCAATTACCTGACATTTACTTTAAGTGGTTGCACAGGATAATTGCGGCAAACCTTGGTACGTTTCCGGAGAAAGGACGCCATTAAGAAAAACTGAAGACTCTTCAGGTGTATATCACACGCACACATGACTAGGTGTGTGCGGAAAATAAACCTTATTTTCCTGTCCTTAGCGTTAAACATCTCTGTGGAGAAAATGTTAAGAGGTACCCTAAGTACTGTCAGATAGCATAGTGCTTCTTTATTTGATACGAGTATATACAATGACGATGGGAACGTGGGATCAACAAGATACACGCGTGACGGTTATAGTGCCGTACTAAAAATATTATGAGATGTTTTTGTGTGAAGATGAAAAAAAAACTGGATAAACACTTCACTCTACTCAGACCGGAGGGGAGGGGGGCTTTTTAAGCTCGCGCCAACTTTCATGTTGCGTGGCTTACCCTATAACACCACTCCAAATATATGAAATGGAAAACAGCCACGACCAGGTGTTAAATGCCTCCGGTATTGACGCCAAGTCCTGTCATGTTTTAGGTTGATGGTTTGAATGTAATGTTAGATAGTGCTTAGTGCCATCAAGGTATATACGTCTGGGCAACGGAGCATTCAAATGCCTCGGAATGGCATGTTAATGGCATTTATGTGCAACCAAACTGGAAGCGAATATACACATGAAATTTTGTTGTTTTATTCAATTTTCAAAATAAAAAAAAACATAAAAACATGTAAAAATCTTGAACTATGTATAGATGTAGGCGTGCGACAAGAATTAACTGAGAAAGAGAAAACAATGATGTTTTACCTGTAAATGACGAGTGGAAAAATAGATGTATTTTTGCATCGAGACTATTCTCTAACCTACATCTCATGACTAACATAATGATGTATTTTTATATATAACCAGGAATAAAATTCTAATACATTCGTGCCAAACCTGAGGAAAATAATTAACTAACAAGACTCAGTCATATATATTATCTTCAAGCGCAGTCCTAGTCTGGTTTTAGTTATTTCCTCAAAGCATTTTACTTCCAAATAAAACAAATTTTGGGTTTGCTGAATCCATTTCTCGCAAAGCGGCTTTCCTAGATTTTGTTACTTATTGAGCCAAATTGGATGCTGAAATTAAGGATATGTATCTTGTACCCCTTGGCAAACAGAATCATCTTAAAAAATCACACATCTCTCAGCGTTATATCGTGGAAATAGGATTTATTGTGGAAAGCTGGGAGATTTTAATTAAATTTGCTACTAGACCCGAGGTGAAAAAAGCGGCATGCGTCAAACGTGATGTAGTCACAGCTGTGCGATGGAAATAATTGTGGCTCAAGAAACATTTTTCAAATGAGAAAAATGTGGCCATTCTAACATGTAGCTATAAGCGAATTCGCGAAATGATTCACTCAAGGCTTATATATACGGCTGAACGATTTCTGCACATCAAGTATTTTATATCATACTTTGAATCTTGCCCTATCATACACTGTGGAGTTCGTTGCACTCTATATGTGAAATACACAGTGGTATTGATATAGATGCCTGATTTGGTTTGATGTTTAGTCAAAAAGAGATAAAAGGCTGTACTGTGTGCCACAGGGAGGCACCGGCGCTCCCAGTAGATGGTGATCAAATATATCATGAATGCCGTGGATACTTGATCAAAAGTACAGCTTTCGCAGCGTGGAGGAGACAAATTAAACTATGTGGCTCTGCGGTAGAAATGATACTCAGATTACTGATAGCCTTTGCCTAAATGATCAAAGGATCAAGTCAAGAAGGAAATGTTGCTGTGAAATATACGTCGGCGGTGCACTCACGTGCACTGCAGTTAAGGTTTCGACAAATCTAGGTCTTTTGGTAGAGTACATGTAACTTCGAATGAGTGGTTTAACACAACACAGCAATCGGACGAAGGCAACGCACTTGCTTAGAAGGATTCTTTTGAAGAATACTAGTCTTAACATGAGTATGATAAGTGTAGTTGTGAGGAAGGGCCAAAGAACAGTCTAAAGAAGCAGATACGCACATGCACAGAGAGAGAGAGAGAGAGAGACAGAGAGAGAGAGACAGAGAGAGAGAGAAAGAAGGAGAGAGAGAAGAGAGATCTAGACGCGCACAAACACACTAAGTTTAATTTATGATAGATAGACCTAATAAATGATAATGATTAATATACCAGATCAATATTAGTGAAAAATATCTGCACACCCATTCTTCGTTAGCGTGAACAAAAGGAAGCAGCTAACCATGACATGGCGAAAAAGCAACTCGGCATATGTGTATCATGCACTGGTGCAGGGAAAGCACAAAATACGTAGGCATTGTGTCTTTAAAAATAGCAGCCCGTTGCCATTATTTGACAACAATGTTCTGCGTTAACGAAGGATAGGTTTTAAGAATACAGTAGAGTTGTATTTTTGTGTTATACTGATGTCATATCTTGATAGACATTTGTTCAGATATTTCGAAGTGTCATGTTCATAGTGGTTGGCGTTTTTAAAGTGTGACATGTAGTATTGGTCATACGGTTTTGACTCATGTAGTTTCAGATTGATTTTGTCGTATATATTTGAGAATATGTTGGCAATTGTAGACTTTAGATATGTTTTCGTGAGAAAGTTTAAAATTTTGAGGTTTTTAAGTACATGTACGGATAGCCGCTAAAATCACTAAAATCTCTTTCACAACATGAAACAAAACAAATTAACACTAGTTTCTTGGCGCCTTAGCTTTAGTGTTTGAATGATTTGTTTGGTCTGCAATACAGTCAACTCTTCGGAATTTGCATAAGGGAAGAAGGAAGGTGTTTGGAACTTCAAATTGCATTTAGCATTGAATATTGCATAACAATAATACAAAACTCATTACATTTATGATATAGATAATGTTAAAAGAATAGACCTGAGACCACTATCTCTTCATTAAGACATGTTTGAAGCTGACACTTGCTATTTTACTAATAATGTAATCAATGTATCGGAAGTACACAGTCACACTTCCTTACGTGTATGCTGCATATAACGTTATATGTTAATTGTAATATGTTGTATCTTTACGTAAAATGCATCGGGAGATCACCAGATAAACTATTACAGCACTCTAGATTGACTTGAATTTGAAGATAAAATGTTTCACGACATTGATACTCTATTTGTATTAGTATTGTTAAGATAATGGCTTATGTCTATATGACCGAATGTACAATTGGCTACTATTTGCCTGCATCGTAATCTGTACGAGAATATTATCATGTTATCTCCTTTATAATATGGCATAAACGAGTGGAATATGTTTCGGAGAATTGTGACGTATGTTTTTGACAGATTTTGTATTGTTTTTGTATATTCTTGTCTGACAAAGAGGTAAATAGTGCTCTGACTCTATCTGTTAAAATCAATAAAATTCCTTTTCAAGGAAAACCATAGAGCCTTCTATCGTTACTGCAAGTCTGACTGACGCGTATCCTCATGTTGTTTTACTTCAATATATCTTATCGGCTAACAAGAGACTGAGTCGGTGAGTGAGTGAGTGAGTGAGTGAGTGAGTGAGTGAGTGAGTGAGTGGGTGAGTGAGTAAGAAGGCCTTTTCGAATGTTTTAACTATTATTTTTTGGTAAAGACTTATAATCTGGTACGTTTATACAAAGTTGCTTTAAATCAGTGAAAACAAATGAAATAGCTATCTATATTGCACGGGGTTAGATATTTCATTCTAGTGCATCAATACAATAATCAACGAACTACCTACGGGTCAGTTGTTAGCGGATACATATCGACAATAGTCTGTTCCATATACGCAGTGACTAAAATAATATAATGTGTACGAGATATTAAATTAGATAGGCCACAATAATTAACTGTGACGGCTCATGTACACCACATACCGATTTGGTTCGTATTTGCAGCGGTTAGTCTCTATGAACTCACCATACGTTGCGTACTTTAAGGTTTGAAAGGTACTGAAATTATAAGCACGTTATCAACATTTAAAAGATAAACAATTGCTTGGCCATGCACGTTACTGCAAAATAAAGAAACAACTGCATTGTGTGTTAATACGAACTGACCAAACTTCTAGTGACACCATTTCGCTTACATGTGAGAAAAGAAAAAGGACCCGTAGTGTAAGGGTAATTGTTTATATGTATTTTTTTATTGAACAGAAAAGCCAGAAAATACAAAGTTATTTCACTAGGGCTGATTTGCAAAATACAAATATACTCATAACTTGCATGTAGTAGAAATATTAGCAGCCAAATTGCAACAGAAAGTAGTATTCGTCAATCGCATTTACCCGGCTTACTAAGTATGAGGGTCGCTATGTATACTTATTGGTGCTGAGATCTAGAGCTGGTTACCGAGTAATTTGACAGCTATGCTGTGCTGATGTCTACATCAAAAGCACTATCATTCTTGGTACAGATATAAAAGTTGACAGAAAAAATCAATGGATATTCAATACTGTAAGGGGACGGTCACAAGCGTGGTAATCGTCAAACTGAGTGAATCTTTAAGATAGTCATGGACTGCAAAATCCAGTTAGTTACATGTCTTGTTACGGAAAATTCTGTCTGGGATCCTTGTCATAGGTTGGTTCTATCACAGAAACAAAATCTATTAAGATACCCCCATCATCTCTCACCGCACTTGGCAGGTTATTTAATATGATTAATGATGACAACAAGAATGATATCGTATCCATAACAGTGCCTATCTCATTCTACGCCTAAATAGGTTAGGCTCTGGCAATGTTCAGGATAGTCTTCGCGTGTCCAAAAAGTACGTAGATTTTCAGGTACGGGTCAAGATACGCACCGACTATTCAGAACAGTACTTGAACATGGTTCTGGATACAGCACGGGTTTGGATTAAGAAACGGTATAAAAACTAATCTTGTCGTCACAGTGCTAAGTGTTGTCACGCCTGGCTTTCAGGCATGGTAACTGTGCCGCTGGTGGCATCATACAGGGCGTTGTCGAAGCCGATGTTTCCTGTGTTCGCCGGAGTCTTCTCACTGAACGCAAAGAGAGATTTGGTGCCCTGCCGTTTAAAGTAGCACCACCCTCCCACCACGCCTAGGATACAGACCATCGCAACGGCCAGGAGAATGGCGATAACTGAACCCGCGTCCAAACCACCCGACCCTGTGGAAAATTGAAAAAGAAAGTCAAAACCTCATTGCAAAATTAGTATTGAGTATACGTATTAAACGCTAACACTTGTAAAAGAGCCCCCCTCCACACCCACCCACCCACTCAATCCTTACATGCACTAGGAAATCTATGATTTATTTTTTATGCACTAAACGTGTTGACCATAACTTACTAGGAATGCTTCTGACTATATTTTGCAAACTCTGATAACGTTATACCCTTGACGATGTAGCCGTTTGTCCATTGATAGTATACAAACGCTTTCAGATGTTATGTTAAAAAACATCATTCTACAGTGCAGAGGAGCATGTTTACGTACTGTTGCCGGTTTGACCGGAGATCTGTCCAGGTCCAGGTGAGATGACCACTGGGTTATTCGGGTTGTAGGGTGGGCGGGTACCAGGCACTGTTGGTTGGACACAATAATGTTTCTGTCATCATGATTTAAAGCATGTTCATGGCCAAAATAATTGTATCATTCATGTGTGGTCAGAGCATCATTGTAAAGAAGTGGAAACTAAGTTACTGCGCGTGTCTATCCTAACTAAAGAAGGCAGAAATAAGTAGATAAATAGGTATTTTTTCCGAAACATTGCTCCAGTAACACAATTCCCAAACATTTGCTAAAATCAAATTCTTATGCAGACTTTCAATATATCTAGTTAGGCCTCCAAGCAGAGGTTAGGGTTTTGGGTGTATTTTTGGCGTGTTTTTATGCTTTTTTTATCGGGATTTCTTTTTTTTTTCCACTGAAATTTTTTACACCTAAAACCCAAACCTGTGTTTGGAGAGAAGACCTCTCTCTCTTTGCTCCATGTTTTGTTTTGTAATGATACCGCACCTTTCGGCATGCTGCAGATGTAGCCCTTCCTCGCATTGCAGCGTGCAAGTTGCCACAGACCGCTGGTTACCATCTGCATGCACCCGTCATCGCCTGGCTCTCCCTCCGCGAAGGCCGAGAAGTCCACTGGAGTGGAATCCAGCCAAGCCACTGTACCTGTAGTAAGAGTTGTGGTCACATTTATGGGGATGCTTCAGAAGTATTCTAATAGTATATCATGTGCTCACATCAAGAACTTCAGCTATTGCCACATGGACTTTTGCCATCCCCGCACATGCAAATAACATCTGTGCTCTTAATTTGAGCTTTCATGAATAAAGAGCAGTTTAAACAAACAAACAAACAAACAAACGAACGAACGAACGAACGAACGAACGAACGAACAAACAAACAAACAAAAATCCTCCAACTTGTCTCAGACTGAGAGCGTGGTTTGGAGATTCCCCCCTCTTTCTCGGATGCTCAGAGATCACCTGTTTCTCCCAATGCGTAAGTTAATGTGTAAATGTGAATCTGTCCTGTACCTACCATCAGATCTTAGGTACATGCCTATCCACACACCCCAGCCGTGGTGCTGCTTGAAGACATCGATAACATGTTGGCTGTGGATGCTGGTGAGGACGGAGGCTGAGTTTTTATTCCTGCACTCTGTGTGGTAAATGGTATCAGATCATAACGTAAGTATACGTTCTACGAAATTTAAGGTTTAAAAAGAAGCTATTCATTAATAAAATGGAGTGGAAGTATTGCATTATACATGTGTAAACTGCAGATGTATTGAACAAATCCGGACTTATATTATTGCAAGTGAACTGCTGGCAGCCCACAGGCGGAATTGTATGTTCTTACATAGTATTACATAGCACAATGCTATTATCTAAAACCATGACCAACACGTCACACATTCAATTGTTGACTCAAATACATTAGTCAATAGCGCAAAAACTACAGAGAGGTGGGAAAACTCAGGACAAAGTAGTAGTGTATACAGACCTGCTTGGGCCTCAACAAATGACTTTTTGTTGGCGGCGAGGGTGCCAGTCTCTATGAAGTAGCATTTATCTCCGACCTCGAACCACTTATCCAGACAATAGCCAGGGGAGGGGGGAAGTGTGGGCGGTGGCGTGTCTGCAAAATACAGATGGGAAGGTGTTATCACCAAGCAGATACCTTTCAGTAGCAAGACTTCGGTGTCTAATAATGGGCACTCCTCTTGCCAATGGTACTGGCCTCTCATACCGAAAGGGATCTGCTTGCATTTGGTGATTAGACAAGGTATTATTCCGGTTAGGCTGTTGGCTTTGAATCGAAATGTTCTGGGGTTGAATCCCTAGAAGGCCCTTGTTGTGCACTAAGAAAGGTAATTAACACATATTTCCTCCCTGAACTCAGGTGAAAATGAGTACTTAGCTTCAGATACAAATTGGAGGTACAGTGTTCGAGAAGAGTCACACCACATGTATCCATTTCATGTGTAGGGGTCCTTCTCAGTGTGAGTGGATCAAAATTGGAAACTGATGGAGCAATACGTACCAAACGTTTTCTTGCATACTGCCGGAAGTGGCTGGGAGCACACACTGTCATTCCAAAGGCCGTTCATCGCCATGGCAACACACCCTTCATTAGCTCCCCTGGTTGGTTCGCCCTCGCCCCAGTTGTCAAAGTATATTGGCCAATTATCAGACCAAGTATACAGCCCAGCCGTCTGGAAAAAAAGAAGAATTCGGAGATTTCAGACTTCTGGAAAGTATGCAATCCCCACCCACCATATCGCTGTGTGAATTCATGGAATAGTCGTGCATGTGTCTTGCAAACTTCAGCTGAGTTCTCACAGAAAAGCCTCGAGAAGCAGGGAATCTGAGTTGTAGTCAGTCTACCGAAATGAAAGGAACCTTCAACCTGTCAGCGTTTGGTTCTGTTACTTTGCCATAAAGAATACTAGTATGAAGGTTTTGCTTGAACTTAAAATTCTGAAATATCATCAATTGTACAAGCGTCCTCCTTGGACCTGGCTTATTCTATGTAGATGTAGATGTAGATGAAGATCACAAGAAGAGGTAACATACCCGGCGATCTGACAAGCCGATCCACACCTTCTGTTTGAGCCATGACGTGAGGAAGCCTTGTTCGTACGAACTGGTCACACTAGCGAGTTCATTGCCGTCCTGTCGGCAAATTTGAGCTGCAGGGTTTGTGAGAAAACACAGTGTGAATCCGTACGTCATGAATTTGCTGAGTATAGTAAAACGGTTGACAGTTCTAACTTTACAAGGCAAAATGGCTATACCACATTTCGTTATGATAAGCGTTTAACGTTCACACAAGATACAATTACACCGGATAACACAAGATCAATTACCTGATGAGTCCCAGTCTTGTCTAGTTGTTATAAGCTGTAGTGGAAAAATATAGACTGATAAGTTAGTATCGTGTTATTTACATGTATATTACAATACAGTAAAAAAGAAGAACATCAACACGAAAGTAGGTGAAATGTAAATTTGAGATGTTCTTTTTGTTTTTTGTTAATTTCTATTCCACGTAGTTATTGCATTCTTCTACTGGTCTAGACAATTGTACTCCTGTAATGACAATGAACCTCATTTCATATCCATGCCCATTAGTGTATAATGCAAAAAAACTAGGGTATCACAAAAACTGCTCCTTGTGTCTATTGCTATAATATAGACAAATAAAAAAAAGCAAGAGCTCTATTTATCTGACCTTGTAACAGCTATTGGCGTAGTTCCTGTACCCTGGCGGACACTGTACGGATGGTGTGGGTGTAGTGGCAGGAAACTCGGGATCTGGTAAAACACGTCAAAGAACTGTCAAAACTTGCCATATATATTTCTATGGTGAATTACCTTCTGTAGACATACATATTTGAGCTATACAGAGAAAATATAAATGCCAATTTTGGAGATACCACCTTTTAGCCTTTTCTTTCCAAATACACCATGTGTATAAACTTGCATCAACACCTCTCGATAAGCCTTTAATAATGCATTTTGACAATCAAATACGGATATGGATATGGAATTTTAATGGGACTGTGTCACTTTTTACCTTCTTCAAAATAACAGAAATGCGGATGTTCTTTAATTTATTCCTATGCTTCTTTTACCACGAAAGTCCAGCTTAAAGATATATACTGTAAGCAATAGATCCAATACCTTTGTATTTCTGGCAGATGAAGCCCAGTTCCCTACTGCAGGCGACGTCGTTCCACTTGCCTGCTATAGCACTCTCCCAGTGAAGCATCACACAGTTCTCATCCTATGGTAACAGTAGCATCATTAACTTGCCTGGCAACAGTAGCATCATTAAAGGTCGACAGCACGTGAGTGGGAGTTGGCAGGCAGAATGAAAGGTGAAAAGGTCTTACACAGGAGATGGGGCAAACTTTAAGGTCACGAAATCTGGTATTTACGAGCGGAAAGTGTATCTTGAGGTTTTACGACTTTTAACCATAACTATACGTACCTGTCCCTGGTTGTTGAAGCCGTTGGGCTGCCTGTCGTTCCAGTTGGTGTAGGTGACGGAGTGCCCACTGGCCCAGAAGAACTTATTCTCGCTGATGGAATCGAACAGACCGACCCACATACCTATCCTCTGGGTCAGAAGACTTGTCACGAATGCTGTCGCCGAAAAGAAATGTGAAATATCATAATTGTCCCCCCAATTAAGAAATAGAGTATATTACTTACATGTCTACATTGTTTATTTACATATATCAGCTATAATTTCATACCTATAAGGATTTTCAATTAGATACAAGCGGGTACGAAAAATATGAATAAAATTAGCTTTTCTAAAGTCACCCCTTCTTTATCTCCAGTGTAAATCTACTGTACAGCCGTACGTATACCTAGCGTCACGTCATATGTCTATCACATAAGTTCATTCAGTTATCCATTCATTCATTCATGCAAAACACACAAAAAAACCATTTAGACAAGAGTGGATGCTTACCTTGTTCGTATTCATTATCAATTGACACCAAGTTCGCATCAAAGTCAGTGTGTCCAAACGACCTGCAGTATGATCTTGCCTCTTCCCAGTTTCTTTTCAAATTAAAGTCGTTGACAACGTAGTAACACTTGTTTCCGTATGGCAGCCAGTTCTTTGGACATCCCCCTTCCCAAGGGCTGGTGGGAGGAGGCGGGGTTACAACGTGGTATGGTCGCTTGCAGATGAAGCCTATCTTATCTCCACAGTTTAGATCATTCCAGCCGCCTGGAGAAGAGAAAGAAGATCAAAGATTGCGCAGCAGTTATTGATAACCTTTTGTAACGTGCATTAGAAACATGTATGGAGAATGTTGAAACAAGTGCAGTGTGCTAGTGAAGAGTTTGGTTTTGATTATTTGACTATGTTCATCTTGCTTAATTTCCAGTGTCGTTGTCATAGTCGAACGTAGATGAAGGGCTTTCTTAGATAATTAAATTTGGCGCTTTATTTCTGTCAATGGACACCAATGTTTTCTTCAATCAGATGCAAGATACACAAAGATTTACATACCATCGCTTTTCATAAACTCTGCGCACTGCTCCGCGCCCATGTAGTCGTTTGGCTCGTCTGGCCGCCAGTTGTGGAAGTAGTAGGCTGACCCGTCGGACCACTGGTACAGGCCATCAAAGTTGTATTCCCGCAGGCCGATCCAGAAGCTGTTTGCTCCAGAATTGGCGACCTGTAACAGAAAATTGAATATGCTTTTTGCCTACTTGTTGAGTCAGCTAGATGATATTATGGTTGTTATGGCTAAGCTGTTCTTACATATTAATACTAATGAATAAAGATCTTTGTTGTACATGCTTTCCCTACTGGGTTAAGTACAAGCCACCTGTTAATGGTATTATACAATGCATATAGATGTATATAATGTCTTGTATACACAAGTACCTTCGACTTCCTCTCGCTTCTTGATAATTATATAAATGTAGGTGGCTGTATGGCTAGTAACTTTATTATGATCAACAAAAAAATTACACTTCAGAGCATTTGTCCAGGTTCTTGACTTCTTTTCCATCTGGATGTCTAACAATCGACGTATGTTTTCATATTGTGACTGGTACCTACCAATGTCAGCAAGAACTGTGTCTCGGCGCCGCTGTTGACTGAGGCCAAGTCAGCCCCGAACAGCTGACACATGGATCGCGCCTCCGCCCAGGACTCTGGCCGCTCGTCGTAGTACCTGTAGCAGTTCCCTCTGAAGAGCACATCCATCTGCGTCTGGCAGTACTGAACAGTTGCTACCGACCCGGGGTTGATGCTGTTATCCGTGATAGCGCTGTAGGGAACTGGTAAGAAGTACATCACGAAATTACTACGCTATTTAGACAACCTTGTTATTACTGTAGATACGCGTGGCACTCCGGAATACTTTTAGATTCCATTTTCTTTCAATGTACACGGAAGTAGTACAACATGAAAATATGAGACGAATCTACCTTCAAATTTACTTTTAGGGCTCAAAATAAGTTCAATCCAGATTGCGCGACAAAACGTATCTGCCATAAGATTCCGATCCCGAGAACTACAAATGTTGGGAACACATTAATTAAGTTTAGGTAACAAAGTGATCAATTTCTACCGTAATCATTTAATTACAGTCATTGACAACATAGTGATGATGGTTCGTTTAATTAAAGAGCTACATGAACTTACTTTTGTCCCTTTTGCAAACGTAGCCGTTCCTCCGCGTACATATGACGTCGTTCCATGTCCCGTCATTTTCCATCATGACGCAGTGCCCGCTGGACGGGTTGTTCGGCTCACCCTCTCCCCACGACGTGAAGTCCACAGGGTCATTGTCGTACCAACCCAGCGCACCTGGAAGAAGTGAAAAACGCCATTTTGTCCTTAATTTATTCATTGCTGTGACCCTACTTAGAAAAACTTTCTTCTGAAAACATAAGTAATTGTAACAACCACTATAGCTAAAGACGTAAGGTAGATAAGAAAATATAGTTTGTAGGTGATTACACACATGGCAAAAGTTACCAAAAAATGTTACATAAATGGCTTATTCACACCAGAGGACAAGACCACCATACAATGTCAGCCGTGTTAAAGGCGATATGAATTGAAAATTAAAATCATACAATCAAACATTAAACAATTAAACATTTAAACATATCATTACTCCTACATAAATGAAATGCATTATTAAATGGCAACGAGTAATACAGTAACTATCCTTAATCATTACGGGAAATCGATCAAGCTCCCCAAATATGTTTCGAAAGATGTCACTCAACCGTGACGGGGGCCGACATCGTCTACAAGATACCTTTGACCCAGTGTTAACGCCACACTTCAAAGAAGCCACGTGACAAGCCTTACTGCGTCAGTCTACTGAGGAAGACCAGAGTGACTTTCTTATCTACCTTACGTCTTTAGTCTGAGTGAGGCTTTTTTGAAGTGTGACCTTAACACTGGCTTTAGGTGAGAGAACTTAATTGTGCTGGATCAAAAGTTGATCTAACACAATTGAATGATGTACTAACCACTTGTATCCCTGAACATCCCTATCCATATCGGCGGCCCCTGTCTGCTGATGATCACGTTTCTCTCCTCACGGCTGTGGAAACTCGCCAGGTGGGCTCCCCGGGAAACGCACTCGAATTCAGCCTCGTACCATGTTTTCCTGGTCTTTTTTTGGACAGATAAAATACCAAACTTTGTTCAGAGACGCACGAACGTTGTTACAGACGAAAAGAAGATGTACTAGTATTTTTTTTTAGTTTTCTATTGACACAAATTGACGATTTTACCGTCTATTAAAACTGCTTGACGTCAATGTATTACAGGCGATTGCATACCTTTTTATGCTCTACGGACGTACGTGCTTTTCGTTTACGTGTGCGTATTCAAGAGCATCGAACGTCGGCAAAAATGATGCAATTACCCCCTGTGGCGCAATTATATCTTGAAAATTCTATTTATAAACTCGTCTATTGTTTGAATTTATCGTACCTGATCAGTATCAAACAGTCCATACTCCGCATAGAAGCAGTAAGACCCAACCGCCATCCAGGTGTCATCTGGGCAGCGGCCGAACGTGGGGCGAGCTGTTGGAGGGGGCGTGGCTACAGGGGGAGGAAAACAAGATATTCTAAGGCATATGGTACACTGCCGAAGATGGTACACTTCACAGTGTAGTTCCTATTATAACAATAAATTATATTACATTACATACATTATACAAAAGAAACCCTTTAACATGGCATTCTGTCTAAAACTCTCGTGCTCTCAATCAACCCCTACCCTATTTCCTGTGGCTGGCCTTTTGTAATCTCCAAGCAGATACTACGGTGGCAGGAGGAGTGCCCATTGGTCACAGAAGAGCAGTGGATACTGTCTACTACCACCGTAGGATGTTGGATTCTTGGAGATTAGCCCTTTGTCCCCTTACATTCAGCCTGTAATAAAGCTTTTCTCCCATCCATGTACTGTCAAACCACTGTGTATCCGGACCAACAAACAAACAAACAAACAAACAAACCCAAAGCTTATGCTGGGGTCACATTTCCAAGCCGGGGCCCGGCCGGGCTGTTTCGATTAACGAATAATCAACAATTTTCATAAAGAATATACGTAAATAGTTCCATTGTTGATATTTTTCAACCTTTCTCTGCTTTGTTGCGTTTTATACCATATTTTTCGTTCCAGATGACTACCCGGCCGGGCCCCGGTTTGGAAATGTGACCTAAGCATTAGCCACCCAAAACAATACTTCCGCATCCGAAAGTAACTACCAATGCTATATCACCAAAAGTTGCCAGACCTGTGGTGATTTCGCAAAGCGCCGGCAGTTGGAGTGTGCAGGCCGTGTCGTCCCACGTGCCGTTCGTTCCCATGGCGACACAGCCCTCCCCGTCTGCCCTGCTCGGCTCGTTATAGCCCCAGGCCGTGAAGTGGACAGGCCAGCCGCTGGACCACCGGTATTCCCCAGCGACCTGAGAGAAACAACAATACATGGATCTGATACGTACAAAGTCGGAAGAGTGGAGAATAGAATCTGCAATGCCTTAAGCTTTCATCAGGATATGGCCTTCTGAACACTAACCGAACTCATCCAACCTTGGTTAGGAGTAGGTTGGGCGCAAAGTCGGTTGGGTCGGCTGGTGTTCGGCAAGGTTGGCTTACTACACGGCTCTGTCAGCAGTCGAATGTTTTAAAATGTTTAAAACATTCGTGGGTAGGTTGGCTCGTTTGGCTGAAGTTAGTAAGTTAGCAGAGCACCGGACAACCATTTTTAGTCGGGTTTTCAGTCTGAGTCAGCAGTGTTCGGTGACAGTTAACTCAAATTTGCTGCACGTCATAAAGAAATGTAGCCTGGCTACCATCCTGGATAGTTTACGACTGTGGGAGCGGACGTAAACTAAACCAGGATGGTACCCCGGCTAAAAGAAATGTAGGCATAGGCTAATTCTGGGAAGACGCGGCTCCCCCACCTCAGCCGATGTCGTGCTAAGACCCTGAATGTGTGACAGGACATTGAGAGTGGAACCCATATACTGTTATCCCAAATATTAATCTTTGCCCTGACTGAACGGCACAAACTGACCTGCTGGTCAGACAGACCAATCCAGGCTTGCTGCACAAACTGGGACTTGAGGAAGCTTTGCTCGTAGATGTCGTAGATGCTGACGAGCTGGGCGCCTCCTCCCTCACGGCTGCACGCGTCATCAGCCTGCGTCCACGGCTGCGATGTCTGAGTCAACTTGTAGCAGCTGTCTCTCCAGGAGACGAAACCAGTGGGGCAGGTAGAAGTATCAGGCTGCGCAGGGAGACTAGCATCTGGGTAGATGATAGTGAGAAATTGAATATAACATCGTTGTTAGATATAACATAAATAAAACTAATTATTGTAGAACGGAAAATAAACAATAAAATATTCTTTTATTCTTATATTTAAGCAAATGATGCGCATTTTTCGAAGAAACTTGGAAACTTCCTTGCGAATTCCATACTGCAGAATTACGTGTAGTCTAAATTGCGTAGTTATTAGTCAATATGTTTTTACATATTACTAGTTAGCCATTCTTAAAATATACAAAACATCGATATCACTTAATAATAAAAGTTTCCAAAGAAAATGTGTAAGTTTAGGGACAAAAGCAGGTAATGTACCTTTGTAAGATTGGCAGATAAAAGGTCTAGTGTGGTCACAGGGAGCGTCGTTCCACAAGCCGGCCCTAGCCTGGTCTGTGTACATGTCCACACAGTCTTCGTTCTGTAGTAACATGTATCTTCTTGAAACAGCAACTTACCATAGTTATAAGTAAATCGCTTTGTCGAAGTATAAATACATTTATGTCATTTGTGGGTCAGTATGTCTGTCTAATAAACACCCCTACTACATTTACCGTTTTTTCTTAATGTTTCGCGCACTAAACATATGTCGTCGAAAACAGGTAGTCAAACGTTGCAGTATAGGAAGTGTAAAAATGCTGAATTTCCTGTTATACGCGTGCCTGCTGCCTTATGGCAGCCAATGGGACACATCACAGAAAGAAACAATGAGAAATACAGATCAGCGGCTAAAACAAGAAATTCAAAATTGTTGACAGGTGTAGGCATCTTGGTTGTCTACCTGGTTATTCCAGTTGTTGGGCTCTCCGTCGTTCCAGTTAGTGTAAGTGACCGGGTGCCCGCTGGTCCAGTAGAATTGACTCTCGTCTATGTTGTCAAAAAGTCCAATCCAGACAGTTCTACGGATACCCTGCAGCTGGCTGATGATGAAGGCTGAAAGGTAGAGCAGCAATGGACAAGTTGGAGTGAGGTTTATTATGCCTTTGCCAAAAAGCATATGTTATCAGGTTTGTGTGTCAGTTTGCCTGGAGGTTTGTCAACAGCATAACTCGAGAAGTTGTGAATGGATCGTAATGTTATTGGTATGTTGGTAGGCCATGTCTACTTTAGACACCCTTTTTCCCACGTAGTGGCACATTTCCCGGGGATACCGAAGCAAAATTAAACTCCGAGAGCGCAGACATAGGAAAAAAGAAACAATGCAGACGCAAGCTACGGTGACAATACACGGAAACACGGTATACGGCAAGGATGGTAGAATGACTACAGAAATGTTAGAAGGGGAAATGGTTGTGTTTCAATAAGTTTCTTAACCAAGGATTAAAAGATGGTGCGACAATGGAAAAATACACCCACCTTGTTCATACTCATTCTCTATGGCTACCAGGTTGTAATTCTCGTTGCTTCCCAGACCCATGCAGAAGTCCCTGGCATCGCTCCAGGTCTTTGTCAAGTCGTCAGAAAGATAGAACCTAATGAATGATGGTAACAATGAATGATTCAAATGACAATACGTTGTAGCTTGAGGCTGAATGTTTTTGAACTCCTTATATCAAGAATGAACAATAAATCAGAAAAGCTAACATCTAAGAAGATAATACCTGTATATACTAACCGTGTATTGCGGTGTAAAACTTTGCATACAACTCCTAAAGCTGCATAGTTGTCATCAAATCGTCGTTACGTATCATGATATAGTATTGGTGAGCCAACGAATCTATTTGCTCTACATCTGTTTTAAGTAACTATGTTACTTGCTTGTATTCTTGCAATGGTACTGCCTAGTTTTAAGGCCGGTGTACAGCAGTGCAGATTGTAAAATGAATGAGAAACTGTCCACACAGAATGATATGGAATTCTCTCTACCTGTAGCACTTGTTCCTGTAGGTCTGCCACCCGGCTGGACAGTTGCCAGGCAGCGGTTGTGTAGGCTGTGGCGGCTGAAGTGGGTTGAGGGGACGCTCACAGATAAATCCATTACTGGTGCCACAGTTGGCGTCATTCCACTTTCCTGTAGGGAGTTCACGTTTAACAGTTTCTGAATTCAAAACCGACTAGACAGTGTATGCTGCAAAGGGATTTTTCTGTAAAATTAATCTTGAATCATCAGGTAAGATTATCAATATAGCGTTTTAACGGGGCGTCATGGGGATACCGACATGGTTGCAATCAAGAGCAGCTTTCTGAAAGTGGACCATAATTCTGGTATTGTTGGACATCTACATGTACAATACCCTTAAGATCTGGTAAGAGTATCTAGCCTATACAGGAGAATAGCAAAATAATACATAAAGAATTGCTGCTAAAATACACCAAATATGATCGTATACACAGCTTATGTAGCTGTGATCTATCTAAATGCATACACCAACACGGCTGTCAGCACCCACCTTCAATATTAAAATCAAAAGTGACTAAAAACAAAACTGCTACTCCTCCCCCATCTGATGTTGGGTACAAAAACTACACTCACCGTTGTTCGGAACGAATTCTGCACACTGCTCGGCTCCACCCGCATTGTTCGGTTCATTGACGAGCCAGTTGAGGTAGGAATACGCAGAGCCGTCAGACCAGGTGTAGACGCCGTCAACTCCATACTCCCTCAACCCTATCCACAGATGAGTAGACAGGGAGCCGTACGTCTGCAAAAATAGCAAGAAACTGTTTTGGGTATCCGTGAATGTATTGAAACTGATCATCGGGTCGGTTAGTCCTAACCCTGAGTGATTTGAGCTTGTCTCATCTTGTTTCTGACTTAGAGAGAACAGATGATGTTACAGTTCCCTTAGCTGTAAACCGTAACCTTGGAGTGGCCGAAAGGTCACACATTGAAGTTGCCGCACCGTTGGGTCTTGATGACCAATGACAAAAAATGAATGTATTGTATGATCATAGGTATCTGTAACTGTAAATGTATAATCATTTTATAGACTGATACCTCTGTAAATAGCCTCACAATTTAGCCCTCTATGGCTGCCAGGATGCAAGTATATCTACTACTACTACTACTACTACTACTACATCATATATTTACTCACCTGGCCAATCAGGAATCGGCTCTCTTGCATGTCGTTTATGGATACGAGGTCTCCGCCGTTTGCCTGGCAGTAGTCACGTGATTCTTGCCAAGACTGGAGATTAGAATCGCTGACGTAGTAACAATGGCCGCTGTAGAGTTTCCAGTCAGTTGTTCCAGCGCAGTTTGGCGCTATAAACACAGGGTTTGCATACATATGATTTTCGCAAATGTGTATAAAGACCGGAAAGTGATGGCATTTGGTTGCTTAACTTTCACAAACAGCCGGGTCAGTGACAGTATTGTAAGTGATGCTTCATCGATATATCTGTTCCAATAAGAACATCATACAAGTACACGTCTAACGAGTGGCTATTGCTGCTTTTCGCAGCAATAGCCGGATTTAGTTTGTTTTTTATTATTATTTTTATTAACGCTGTTGTGATCATCACGAGTTTTCATCAGATGACTGAAATATCCGATTACAAAAGGCAAGCTATCTTACCATTTTCTGGGACGGATGGTGGTGTGGTGGGGATGACGACTGAGTCACCTGGAGGAGAAGTAACAGTAACAAGAAATCGGTGCTGTTTTAGACTTCCTGGTATCTGGTTTTCGACCTCCATGTTCACTCCATTTTCTGATCTTTTGACGCGTCATTCTGCCTATCGATTGCTATCTTCCCCGTCAACGTTTCTACTCTGTCTGGGCAGACACACAAACTCATAGTCCAGCCACTCAAAACAATACTTCTGAAAACGACATCACAAGTACATCTGTATCTGTATCTGTATAGCCGGTATAACCGCCTTTCGGCGTCAGCGACACTTACTGTAATATATTGTGCATGACTTCGTATTAACAATATGACAGTAAGTACCTCTGGAAACCATACAAATCCAGTTTCTGTAGGAGGTACAGGAAAGGTCGTTCCAAAAACTGTCGGATCCGGCTATTACAACTTCCACACAGTGTTCCCTGTCGTTTGCGTTGTTAGGTTCGCCGTCGTTCCAATTCGTGTACCCCACGGCTCTACCATCGGACCACTTGAAACCTTAAAAGGATTAAGAAGAAACATTCAGTAATCCAAGCTTATCCAACATACTTTGCATTTGAAAGGTGTGTTTAGGAGATTCGTGTAAAAGCGTTTGCTAAAATGCTCTGCTAAAATCTGATTTCTTAACGCAATATTTACGGGTGTTTACATTTCCACATTAAATTTAGAATATTAAGCAAATAACATCCTATTCTAATGTTCCTTACCTCCCTCGTCATCTTTGTCATTCAATCCAATCCAGAAAGCCATCCAAGCTGAACTGCACACAGAATAAGAAATGGATTTAGTCCAGTTCAATTATTATTGTCTATATCCTACATGAAACTTTATGTGGCACGTAACTTGATTTATCATTTTTGTAGTAGAATAGTTTGTTCGTTGAAAAAGAGAAACATATAAGCTTCCAGAGAATTGGTCTTCCCTGAACAGTTGTATCAGATGAATATTAGTTCGGTTATAGTCAATGTCTGTGTAATAGTGGCCTTACTTGATTTGGCTGGTGAGCAGTGACATTTCTGCATCCCTGTGAAGACTGACCAGATCAGCGCCCTGAGACTGACAGTGTAACCGCGCATCTTCCCACGTCTTCCGGTAAGGTCCGGCTACCTGGTTTATCTAGATTAGTAAAATGAAAAAAGGAGTTATCATCAGCATGTCAGTAATGTGTGTATACAGCATAACCTACAAAAGATTTAAAATTCTGTTGTATGTGGACATGTGGTCAGCGTAGACAGGATTCCTCATGCTTGCCTTAATAAATGAAAGTATCTAGGGGACTACCAAAAGTTGTCACATTGACCAAGTGGTCCTTGTGTAGAGCTGGTCATTTGTAAAGGTTTGACAACACTGTGGAATTGCGTTGAATTATTGCACACTGTCTGATATAAAATAGAACCAAAATATTGATTTATTTTGGCCTTAGTAGGCGAGACCCATTTAGACACGCCCTGATCACGCACCGCCCATGCGATGAGCGAACACAAGTTAACCAATCGCTGGGCAGCATTTACACGTGGTGCGTGAACCCGCTGAATTCGAGCAGATCAGCCTTCCTCCCTCAAAATGTCGTCTGATTTTTGGTGAGCCCATCCTTCCCGCCCCTCTGTGGTTCTTGTGGCCTTACTGCAGTAAGTTGCAGTGGCTAAATATTGTTTATCATGGCAGAGGGGATTACTAGTACTTCCATCCTTGCTGCCAGACATTCGTTCGTGAATCGGTTGGACTTGAATTCTTATACGGCTCTCATACACGATTGTGGATGCATGTCTAGGAGCTGTCTCGCCTGATGTCTGGCTTAGTCAGTGACTTTACCATCCACATACGTTCTCCTGGGGGTGCTTGGATACACTGTGGGGAGCCTAACGTTAACATTGTTTATGTCGATCTCAGTTGCAGCGACCTGTGTGATATGCAGAAGGCGGAGCAGCAAGACTGTTCTGAACCGGCCGATGAGCTGCACCAGAAGGTTTGGGCGCGGCATGCCATGATGGGTCGGCCCCTGCAGACTGACTGCTCATACTTGATCCGCCAGAGTTTCCGAGTCTATGTAAGTATTTCTGTCATCTTGAGTATGAGATCGGATCTGTAAGGCCTGACGTTTCTCAAAATCCTAAAATGATCACAATTATGTCCTTCTGTCGTAACACATTACTAGGCTAGCTCGTTTGTTTACACCCAGCTGCAACTGTTTTGAGAGACGTACAGAAGGGGGGGGGGGGCGTCTGTAATAGTTCCCAAATATGCAAATAAGGGTATAATTTGCATGATTACTAAGACTGGCTGCAACTTCTTCACTCAGTCTTGAGCGAGATGGAAATTTCATACTTGAATTTGTGACATGTCATCTGATACTGAGGGACCATGGATGTTACTGAAATTCCTGATATTTTACGGTAGTTCTTTATGTTCACGGTTTTGACTGTCACTTCTCACCGTAAACTTATCAGTATCGATTATAAAATCATTTGCCTTTGGCCCTCCGCCATGCACATGCCGCGTCAATGTATTGAAATTTTGCTACGCTGGAGACAAAGTGATTTACAGTACCTGATAACAGTAGTTAACGCCTGTTTGCGTCAGCCATCCACCAGGACACCTAGCGGTCGATGCGTGAGTTACACCCGGAGGGGGTGTGTAGCCGCTCCGCAGCTTCTCGCAGATGTAGGGGAACGTCTGGACGCATCTGTTGTCGTCCCATAATCCACCGCGCAGCCCGGCAGTCATACTGACGCAAGCGCCCCAACTGAAACCTGTAGTGCAATGAAGTTAGCATTAACTTAAGGTTCTTGTGAGTTAGTTACTCTCCTCTTAACATTACAAAAACAGACATTACAGAAAAACATGGCCGGGATCATTCGTATTCCACTGCCTCCGAAAACCAAGCTTAAGTCGAACCCAATAATTCAGACTTTAGTATTATCATTGCGTGGGCCGGCTACTCTCTCCTTGCAGCCAAGAGCTGAATTGTGAGCAGCTGACTTATAGCTTGCACTAATGTTGAATTGATATGCATTTTTGGTACACTACTGCTTGTTGATAAATGCGCAGTGTTTTAGCTTACTTGGCTGGAGTCGGTCCCAGTTAGTGAAGCTGAGTGGTTCACCGTTTCTCCACTGGTAAACCACAACTCCGTTGTCGTCCCGGGATCCGCGGAGGCCGATCCAATAATTTCCGTCCCGGTTCCCCAGTTGGGCAGAAAGGAACGCCTGTTCAAATCTAGTTGAAGTGGTAAATATTAATAAACACACCGCATAACTAAATGGAAACGATTGGGTAAAGCTTTACAATCTTCTTCAAGAACCGAAAACTTTAGACTTCCTGTAAGCTTAAAGGTTTGGGGTTGCTGTGAATGCATTGGAACAGGTAATGGTACCAGCTTCCATATATCCACGGGGACAAGATACACCATGAAGAAGTAGTTTGAGAAATGATAACCAAAGTCATGGTTTGGTGCAGCTTTACAATATTCACAAAGACACCGGAGATTTTAGACTTCCGAGAAGAGTTTTCTGGATTCTGTAAATGTATTCAAAGGTGAATTGTATGGTAGTTGGGAAATACCTGAGTTGCATCTTAGGATGGATTATTGTTATTGCGCCTATGATTGTATGGCGCAGTTTTAATTTTTACTAGTACGCTTTTAGAACATGCACGGCACACATTCCTGGTGACCACATCCTAGCACCCATGGCACAATGATAATTTGTTCGTTACAAGAAAAAAGTATCTCGTATCTAAAGGAATTACCTGTCGGTAACAGACACAAGGTTTGCACCTAGACTGCGACAGGATCGCTGTGCGTCCTGGTACACTGCAGGGTTACTGTTGAAGAGGTAGCAGCCGTTTTCGTATCCCATCCAACCCTATGGCATAAACAAAAAATGGAAAATAAGATATGACAACAACAAGGCGTTGCAAAACATGCGACTTCTCCGCTCTTCAAGTATACGTAGAGTTGTAAGATCGTAGCGTTTTCCGACTGCCAGTTGGCTGATTATGAAATAATATAAGTACTATTTGTGACGCCTGGAAGCCAGAAAAAGTCACGATCTTTCATATAACGACATGTGCTTGGGGATCACAAAATGTACAAATGTCTAGTTACAAATGTCATGCATTAACTAATTACTTTTTGTAAGGCTTAATGCATTAAATATCAGGTTTAAGACCGGTTCAAGGTTCTTTTTTACCCACCTGCTCACATCCGGCAACGGTAGGCAGCACGGTTGGTTCTGGCAGTGACTGCTTCGGTATCTCACAGACATACGGGTAGTGGCTATCACACTGGGCGTCATTCCAAAGTCCATTCTGTGATCAACATATTAACATTGATATAAGTATTGCAATATTAAGTTTACAATAACAATAGCAGCTTAGTCAAGATATTACCAATTTCGTTTACAAGGTACAAGGGTATTTTTTTAAAGGGGGACGCTTAGTGTTTACATTTCGGAAGGGCACGGCCACATTCGTCATTCGATCGCAGAGTAAGGACATTCTTGGGAGTTGGGATTTTTTTGTGTCGTTTGACAAACATCTGTCTTCTTATTTGAGATTCCGTATTAAATTCTTGTCAATGGTAAGTTCTGCTGCAGTCTACTTAAAAGTAATACCGCATCAAAATCATGCGACGGCCTACGATGTCTATAACGGGGCAATGGCATGTGAATTGCGTCTTGTGTTAGTTCTTACAGTTTTATACATGTTAACGCAGTCCTCGTCTCGTCCTTGATAGTTGTTGGGTTCATTGGTATTCCACAAGGTGAGGGTGACAGGCGAGCCATCAGACCACTGGAAGAACATCTGCACCGTTCTGTCATTTAGACCGATCCATACGTTGTTAATTGATGCTGGAAGAAACAGTGTTTCTTTTTAGTAAAAGTTGATCGACAACAATATAGGATAAACATAAAATCATCTTCGCTTGTATTGTCTCTCTAACCCTTGAAAAAATGTCGTATTTGTGACTCAATAAACAAAATCTTCTTCTTGTATCGTTTGAATGCTGCTATGATTTAACGTTGTCAATCGGATTTTTTTAATGAGCGTTGTCCATAACGAAATGGCATGCTTTAGTCTAGTTCTTGTTCATCTGCTTTTGTAGACTGTTGTCCTACCTGGCTGAATAAGACTGTAGACAAAGTTTTGTTCTGCCTGGTTAGAGATGGATGCCAACTCTGCACCCTGCTGTCCACAGCTCTGACTGGCTCGTCTCCAGCTTTTCAGGTCGTCCCCAGTACCGTCGTACAGTCTGTAACAGTTGTCACCGAAGGAGGTCCAGCCGGTAGGACATCTCAAACCTGTTGACGACAGTATAGTTTGATTTAAACGTCCACCAGATACCGTAAGCTTTGACCAAGTGTTGACGCCACACTTCAAAGAGGCCACGTGACATCGACAAGCTTCACTGGGTCAGTCTACTGAGGAAGACCAGAGTGACTGGTCGAAAGCTCTAGGTGAGAGAACTTTTTGTGTTGGACCAAAGTTTTTAACTTTAAACAATTGATTTAAATGCTTTGCTCGACAATGAAGATTAGATAGCACACACAAGTCTGACTATTACTTGATCTGATTAAGTTGTTCTGTTGTATAAAAGAGACGGCTGCATCCAAGAAACGGCCTGGTTGTCTAATGTAATAGTGCATTATCTGTGATCAAAGCTTTCTAAAAGCTATCAGGCACACTAATCTTTTATTTCATTATCATCCTAATGTCACACTACCAATCTTTTGAGGAGAATATCAAATACATATTTTTGTTGCTTGCTTCCCCTATTGTTTCGTGTTTTAAATTTTCGCAAAGATTATCAAAGCAGTTTTGTAACGCACCGTTCTGGTTGAAAGTAAACGATGCGTCGTCTGCTCCAAAGCTGAAAAAAAAAAGATTCCATGTTATGTACAGTAGTTTTTTTTTGCTTATGGACATATGCTAATAGTGAATGAAATTGAATTTTTGGGTGGAATATCATTTTTTTTTCGTTTATGACTTACCTTTGCGAAGTGACGCCGTTCATCGTACTGCCAATATAGGCGCTTAACCCAGCTTGCATGAGGACCGTCACTTCGCCTCCGTTGTGATCAGTGATCTTCCCGTCGTGAATGGCCGAGGCACAGACAAAAGAATCCTTCAAAACAGCAAGATGTATAAGAACTAAATAAATGAAGACCTTTATTGTACACATAGGGTTGTATGCTCACAGGGTTAAGCACACGTAACAACAGAAGAATAGTATGAGAATAACGTTACATATATTCATTGTCAAGTAACTACAACTAAGTGAATTCACGTCTTTTACGGAAAGAAGCGATAAAACCATTAAGCCACTGTGATTTAGTCCTTTACCAATACATAATCAAATGATATAAAGTTTCTCAAGTGAGTAGGCATATAAAATGTAGCGAAGGGAAAGCATGTTACTGTCAGTGTTGTTAGCATTGCATCAGTACCTGCCCCTTACATCGCTAAATGCATTATAAACCTTACATCGGCATATGTTCCTGTTCCCCAGACGAGGGAAGTTTGCGATGCACAGCCAGGCGGGCAATGTACTCTGGAATTAGGAAACAACATGACTAAGTCACTTCAAAATATTTGTTTTGTGTAGGCGATATGGGTGTCCATTTACTGCAGACATGTTTTTTTTTTTTCCGTCATTTTTATACAGGGTAACCCAATTCAGTGATGGCACTGCTTTTCAACGGGGCCCTGTATTACACAGCACAATACAACAATCACATACAAATAATAACATTAGCATACAAAAATTATACAATAAATAATTATAATGGCAATGATAATAACGAAAACAATAAATAAATTATAATGGCAATGATAATAACGAAAACACAGTAATTAACCAATAACAGTAATAAATAGTAATAATAACAAAAAATACATCATTGTCCAGTCCAGTCATTGTCATTGTCCAGTCCTATATGTTGGCATGGAGGGGTCAGAGGTCAGGACATGTAAGCAAATCAAATCGAATAGATGTCCGAGGATTTTATGCTGCTCCTGCAAAAACACTATGTTACTGAAATAATCCTTAACTCATGGATTGTTCACTTGAAGTACTAAACACAACTGTCTTTGTTTCAATAAATGTTACGTGTACCTACGTGTAGTACTGCTCTCCAATGGACTCTGCAAGGTCTTTTCCTGTCGATAAACACGTTGCAATGTCTGCAAAATAAAACGCCCATGTATTATATCTTAAATTCAATGTTATTGGATATGTCTGTAAAAGATGACGGTGTTCCCAATGTATATTACTAATTACTAATATCTATCTATTTATTAGAACTCACCACAAAAACAAATATACAAGTGGAAGGGAGGACAAAACAGGTGTATTAACACCTTTGCAAGTTGTCCTCCCAAACACAACAATATAAATACAGTACAATACAAATTGCAATGTCGGACAATACTTGACGTGAAATACAAATTCCTACAATAACATACATCAATCATAAAAATACAATACAATACATTGCCATAAAATATGCGATGTGTGTAATATCTCTCTACAGTAAAATGTATTGAAACAAACTTACTTGCCGGGTCGCAACCCAGAACTTCGAATCGTAAGCCTGCGGCACCCTGGTAGTCCACAGGAGCTATCCTGATGAACCGGGTCAGGATAGAGTTGGAGTTGGCCAGGTTGTTTGAGACACTGGTGGATCTGTCCGTGTTACCGGTGAAAATCTAAAAATGAAACGGTTGATAAATTTCTCAAAGGTTGATAGCATGCAAAGGGTCGAACAGAGTGAACGCATATAATTTTATTACCAGAAAACATCAACCCAGAGTTAGATGATCTTGACCAAGCAATATGTATTTTTCATTGTTAGTCTAGTGATATAAAAGTTGAAGGGAAAATCTGTGAACAATCATATCTTTATAAAAAGCACTAAACCTAAGTAGACATACTGTACGTATTGGACATTTGTACGAACGTAAACCAGATAATTGCTTAATAAAAAGATGTATGTGGTAAGGAGAAGGTGCTGTACCATATCGTTGCCATCTATGCTCTTGTAGGTCCTGTAGGAAATGCCGTCGTCACTGAACTGCACCATGTATGTCTTTACCCACTGGTCTGCGTCTTGTCTTCCTTGTGTGATCACACCAGTCACCTGACGTGAACGGGACAGATATTACAATTTAGCGTCTTGCAACACCTGAGAGGCCTAGTGTCTTCAAAGTATCTTATAGCTCCCTTATTTACGTTACATGAGGCAGATTCGTTTCTGAAACATCTTGGTTTGTTTCTTGATACCTTCTTGGTTGCCCGGAAGTCGACCTGTACCCAAGGTTGTTGGTCTCCCGACAGAGGGACCCAGGCGCCCGGGTTGTTGTCACTGGACACGTAATTCAGGCGGGCTCTGCGAATAAAAACAGGGCATGGATCAGAAAAAAAAAACAGGATGCCATCTATCTTTTCAGATAGTTTCATAGCTATGCAAAATACTACAATACTGCAGGCAAAATAAAACCATTACCCTCCCATCAATCGACAATAAAGATGAATTCTTAAGTCGGACAATAAGCATAACTGAGCATGGCTTGATAGTAAATCTAGTGATTACATATTGCCGGCCTTTGGGAAACAATGTATCCATCGCATTAGACAAAAGAGGGCAGAAAGTAGTTTTCTGTAGAGTTCATACCTTCCAGCATACTGGTTGTTAGTTGAGGCTGACAGTTGGTAATCAGCAATGGCACCGGATTCCATACCCACGGGGACAAGGCACACTGTAGAGGAATATAGAAAAAGACTCTTCACAATTTGTTAGTATCTATGGCATGTCCTTGCAAACAATTTCGGGAATATCATTTCTTTATAACTTCCGGGTAGATATGTGCGTATTGTTTTGAGTGACTACATTGTGGGTTCGTGTGATTTTTGTCCGGACACAGTAGGTTGACAGCATATGGGTAGATGAGAAGATTGACAGGCAGAATGGTAGAGGGTCAAAAGATCGAAGACAGAATGGGGTGAACGTAAAGGTATCTGAATCCGGCCGGGAACCAACAGGAACTAGTGGTGGACCTGAGGAAATTCAGGAAACTAAGAATTACATGCTTCAAAGTCTGAAATCTCTAATTTCTTTATTTCCATTTATATGGTTAGTTTATTTGCAAATGAAAAAAATGCTGTAGTATATTGTCAGTACGCGTAGGACAAACATTGCTATTTACCGCTTTGAGTACACCTATAGAGGACCTCTATGTATTTGTAGGTTCCTTGGCACGGGTCTCCAAACACAGCGTTGTTGGCCTCTAGTGTGCAAGACTGCTGGTTGTCACATATGCTCTGAATCTGCAGTGTAATTTCGGTAAAATTGGGTTTACTTTTTTATGTGTATATATTATAGTTGTAGAGGACCTTACGACAGACCCTTACGTTTTTGCGTAAATACAATACTTTTGCATTACGATGTTAACGATAATTACATGTGACAATAGTGACTGCACATTGTTTTTACCTTTAATATCACTTGGAACATACATTCATAAACAATAAAAACAAGACCAAATTAACTCATTTATAAGACAACTATAGGGCAGACTTACAGTCTGGAGTGACAATGAGCTGACACAGTCTACAACAGATACGGGGTTGTTAGAGCAGACGTTAGCGTCGGTCCTGCCATAGTTGGCTGACACGACTTGAATAACTTCGTCTCCAAGACAACTGATGGTGTCACTGTTGCGTTCGCATATGTGGATAAGATGCTCGTCTAAAAAAATACATAAATAAATAAAAATTTATAATAATTAATAAGTACATTTCTTATCCAAATGTTTTACAGTTTCAATGTACTGTATTTCTAGAATGTATGATTTCCACTTAATAATGACAATTCCATAGTTTTTATTACCTGGTTGATCCGGGATGGGAGTTGGTGTCGGTACATTTCCTGTAGAGTAATAAAATGCAGTCAGAAGTCATGCATTTAACGAGGATTTATGATTTTCCAAATAATATAGGGTGCCATTTTTCCAACAATTGAAAATATTTTTTACTTTGTTACTGTTACTTAATGCGTTTACTTGTCTTGCACTTGAAGTCTTCCAATTCAAGCATGTAGCGGAAACAGCAGAATACGTCACCCATTGAAAATTGGTCTATTTACTTTAAAAATGGGAAGTAACTTACAAGAAAAAAATTCGAATGTGATTATAGTTTACTGTGATTTAGTCAGCAGTTGTGTAAGACCTGCCTGAAGAAATATCAAAGCATGGATGCAATATTTATCAGGAAAAATACCTCTCATTTTACAGATGTACCCTCTGAGATTGTCACAGTTGAGATCATTCCAGTTGCCATTGGTAACGGCAATCTCAACACAGTCTTCGCCACCGTTTCCAGCGTTGTTAGGCTCCCCTTGATGACAAACGGTTAATGTGTGATCCATTAAACTCTCGACAAGTTTGAAATAACACAGAAGATGCTTTACTTTACCACGTTGCCACAGTCCTTGTATGCCGTACAATATAGACAGTTTTGGTACCATGTCAGTTATTGTTCAGCGGAAAGCTGTTGTTAATGTTAACAGTTGACTTAAGTTACCAATTATTCATTGATCAAAACCAACCTGGAGTTTCGAATCACATTCTGGGTAGATGCTAGAAGAACATTGACATTGCAATTGCAAAATGTAGATCCTGGTATGACAAGCATGATGCTTACTTTCTAAAGTAAAGCTCAGACATGCTGTACTTGTTGCTCTGTTCCAGATGTTTTCTCGTATCTATCTGCGTATTGTTAGCACAGGACGAAGTGGTACGTACGTGGTACAAATATTAGAAAAAAACTGCCGCACTTACCACCTCCCCACTTGAGAAACCTAAAAGGGGACCCGTCGACCCAACTCCACCCGCCCTCTGTGGTCTGGTCGTGAGCTCCTATCCACATGGTGGCCATGTTGGTGACCGAAACAAGCCTTCCTGTTGGGAACGAAAAAAGGAATTCTATTACGCTGCTCGCTGTGACTGTAGTCGAATACTGACATTGGATCTTGAGCAATGTGCTTGTTTGTCAGCGATTAAGAAATTGTAGTGCTCGTTCTAGTCCAAGTCCTAGGTTTCTAGCTCTACTAGACAGCTACATGCCCATACTGTAACAGTAGGCATAGATAGCTTCCTTTGCATGTGTTCCAGGAGCGGTTGGTTTTTTTGGGGGGATGGGGCAAGTTTTCTGATTTTACGTAAATTGCACAGTCACGCTTATAAATTTGACCGCCTTCCCTAGTATATACTAGAACGTCTGCAAAGGAGGCTAAGATATAGAGGTAACAGTAAAGCTCTGAACCTTATAATCGCAATTGAACTCACCTGTGATGTATGCACTTTCCGAAGGTGTGTTAATACTGAGAAGATCGCCCCCGTTGGCCTGACACACTGCCCTGGCGTCGTGCCATGTGCGGAAGGACCCTGTGTGGAACTGGTAGCAGTAGTCGTTCAGAGGGTTGTCTTCCCAGTCCGGAGGACAGACGTTACTGGTCCAGCCTGAAAATCACAGGTATGTATACAGTCACAACAACATTCAGGTACGTGCTAGTTACTTGTTCAGCATACCAACTTAATTTGATACAAATGTTTTTGTGTGTGCATCATTAAGAAATACATCCAGGGATACATAAGATAACAAGTCGAAGTCTTTTAAAAAGGGCTATTAAGCCCTGCTGGTGATTTGAGTCTACCAATATGCCCTTACCTACAGTTGTCCGCGGAGGTGGTGGGTCGCCATTGTCTGAAAAGGGGGTCATTAGATCATCATTAGAACAGTCCAATTTTACAAAGTTGGAGATGATTATGATTATAAAAAGTAATCCTAACTACAACTGCGTAAAACTCCTACCGAAAATGACAATGCTATTTTCAAGTCCAGGGGGCGCAGACCTTCTATAGCCCCAAAAAATGCCCGACTAATTCAACATATACTGGATACCAGATACTACGCCATGTATATTCAGTTTTATATGATTCACATCATGACGATAGTTAGAATGTCAGTGCGCCATGTGCAGTATATATAGGACTGTAGTCAGTTACAAAGGGAGTTCAATATCACTGGCATAACTAATGTGAACCCATTGAGACCAAGATTTACTTACTAGTCAACTTTTAGGCTTGTAAGTACGATTAATGGACAAGAGGCAACAGATATGTTTATACAACGGACTATAAACGTGTTAAAGGTTTACTCGCGCTTTTTTTTTCAAACAAGACTTACTTGGTGCTTTCTTGCAGACATAGTCAAATTTGACATTGTTGTTGTTGCATTGGTGGTCGTTCCACCGCCCGTTGGTGCGCAGTTCAACACAGTCCTCATTGTTTCCCGCATTGTCTGGTTGGTTAGGCAGCCAGTTTAGATAGCCCTGAAAAAAATTGAAATGTTTTTCTTTATTGTCCCATCTATGCATGTAATGTTTTGTTCATCATCATCGTAATCATGCCTTCGGATTGGTGTGGCACGCTTTATAAAGTTACTCCAATACGCCCTGTCCCTCATGACAATACGCCCTGTCCCCTATTACACTAGTAAGAGCAGCCCCTGCGAGACCAGAGCCTTTCTCTATTCACACATGTTTTGTTCATTGTTTTATTACCACATCTCTATCTTCATCACTTGTCTTTCTTACGATATGAATACCATGTTACTGTGACAGCATCGTATATTAAGTAATAATATTATAACGTTTCTTACCACCCCAGTGTTATCCGTCCATTTGAATGTGCCTTCTGTTCCCCTGTCGTTTAAACCGATCCAAATTGTTCGGGCCGCACTGTGAGCTAAAAGAAAGAACAGTGGCAGATATGTCCAAAGGCACTTTACACAACTTTCCTCACATCAGTGAAAAATGAGTACTAGTATTGTCTGTCCTGTATTTGTTTCCATGTGTGGGACACAACGCCAGCAATAGCTGCCTATGTCCCACGTGTATTCATTGCACTGTTGCAATTTTAATAAATCAAATCAAATCAATGAACGAACGAACTTACAGCGAATGAACTCATTCTCTTGGGCAGTCCTGATTGACGCTAGATGTGCGCCGACTTGGGTGCAGCGGCTTTCCGCCTGTGTCCATTTCTGCTCTTGTGTTTGGAACAAGTAGCAGTAGTTCTCCCACAGGATCCAGCCGTCGTCACAATAAGTTTGAGCTAAAAACAACAATTTAAATTTCTTTTATCTTTGAACCAGTTATAATAACATGTGTCTCACGACCGTATGGTCCTTGCATATTGCTTTAAACTGACGGTTCGGCTAGCTAAAACAAGTCGCAACAGTGAGACGTCAGTCGTTCTTAGTAAGAACTGTGCAGCTGTGGAGGTCCTTACCCAGAAGTGTAGTGAGTGCTAAAAGTGAGAACAGTTTTAAAACAACCCTAGAAAATCATTGGGACTTGAGGAAATACCAAGAAAGAGAAGAGGGCAGATAGCCTTCCAACGCAGAGGGATTCTCAAGGTATTCTCAAAGTAATAGCGTTAGAAGTCCACGGATTATAGACTAAAAAACAACTATTTTCACCTGGTTTTGTATCACATCCGAGTAGCTCCATTCGAATGGCCGCGCCGGCCGGGGCCCAGATTATGGGGTAAACCCTGGTAAAGCGGGTCACGTGGGGTTCCTGTAGGACGTTCCTCACACGCGTGTCCTCGTCGTTGTTGCCTATGAAGACCTGCCACAAACAACGTGTTCAAGTCACAAAACTGCGAATCTGGCTAATCTCCAAGCAGATCATGCGGTGGCAAGGCAGTATCCATTGGCCAGAGGAGTGTCCATTAGCCACCGAAGAAGTGATCCTCCCTGTTTGAGTGCTGGCAAATCTTATCGGTGGCTTATGGGGTAATTTAGGAACGTAACAGCCAATTTGTGCGGGTCGGGGGTAAGTCCATTTTTGGTACGGGGGATGTGTTGAAGCCATCTGCTGCATTTGCTCCCGAGCAAATTAATGTCGGCCTTGCCACCGTATGATCTACTTGGAGACTAGTATCGTGCGTCTTTACGCTAAACGTTTCAATGAAGCGGGCAGATACTGGCCACCATGTTGGTGCCTTTGGTATGCATTTTAATTGACTATAGCTCAAACGTGCATGGCGTTTTGTAGAGGTTTATAAGACAAGTACCAGTAAGCTTGGACATATATTTTGCACTATTCTGTTGATATTCCATGATATTGGAGTTAGATGACAAGTTTCTCTTCCCTGTTTAGGGAAAGAGACATGAAGTCTTACCCCATTCCTGTGGTCGATGTCAGTGTAGTCGACCCAGTCATCGGACGCGGTGTCCCTGAAGGCTAACTTGTAGCTCGCTACCCACTTGTTTGTTCTGGCACCCTGTGTTACAACGCCTGATACCTGTAAAACATCAAGTAACAGCATTAAGAAACATTCACAGAGCTGCATCCTTGGTTTCTGTGGATATTGGGTTTCTCCTCTGTAATGTGGGGTCGTGTGGCGTAACGGCAGAGCGTTCAGCTCGGAACCAAAAAGTCCGGGTTCGAACCCTGCCATGTCACCGATCTTGTGTTCTCGGGAAACGACTTTCCTGGATGGAGGCCTGGTGAACCCCATCTCGTATCTATTAGCCACAAAAGGCAGCAGAAGTTCACGTTTAGATGCCTGTCAGACAACTTCCCCAGAGCTTCCTAAGAAGCAGGTGAGGTATATAGGGCCGACGGTCTCGTTATGGGGAGCTTCAAATGTAAGACTGGGACACAAGTAATGGAATACAGTGGGCACTTATCGAGAAGAGTAGATTTGACTCAGTATCCTTGACGGGAACGCGTGTTGCTGTGAGGCACCACTTCTAGCTTTCATACTTTACCCAAGTATAAGGTCAGCCGCTTTATCTTTCTTTAAAACACACACACAAAAAAAAAGCTACTCACCCGAAAGCCCGGCAGACCCATGTCCACTTCTATCCACGGACTGGAGTCTGTGGACGTTGGACACCAGGCGGCACCTGTGATACTAGCGTCGGACATGCCCAGTCGGCCGTACTTGGCGGCATGCTGTGGATCGAGTTCCGTCGACGCCGATAGCTGTCCGTCCGGTATGGACCTGTCTTCCATACCGAGCGCTGCGTAACAGTCTGTAAACAAACATATTCTAACATAACTGTAAGGATTTTAGACACTGAACTAGACTATTTCTTGAGAGGGGTGAAGGAAGCCATATACATCAGGGCCCGTCACCCTACACCCTACATTGAACCGCGACGGGGGCCGACATCGTATACCATATACCTTTGACCCAGTGTTGACGTCACACTTCAAAGAAGCCACGTGACAAGCTTCACTGGGTCAGTCTACTGAGGAAGACCAGAGTGACTGGTCGAAAGCTCTACGTGAGAGAATTTTTTGTGTTGGACCAAAAGTTTTAACTTTAAACAATCATGTAACTACCAACACAGATGAACTTTCATGATAATATTCTAACATAACGGTATGCATGGACACGGAATGATTATGGAGGAGCTAATTTATGTCACGGCGAAATCACATGATAGATAAACTTACAGTTGTTGTAAGATATGAATAAACTTTGATGGCTACATGAGCATTTGTTTATATACGTGATAAATTTCCTCTCTACATTGGCAAAAATGTACAGATTGAAACCATAAATCTACTTTAAATTTGTTTCCTTTCTTTAGCCCCTATTCGGGTCATGCATGGGTCCACAGTGCCATTTGTTAATTTCAAGTGCACATTGTTAGTATGATGGACTTACCTCCTGACAATAAAGATGTTCCTATAAAAAGAAAAAAAAAACACAATTAAGTCAGTATAGATTACCTTATAAAACCATGTTAATTAATTTTATTGAAAAAAGAGGCAAAGTTACTATCAAGCGGATGCCCATTCAAATAAAGACAAGTATAAAAGAATATGGACTACACTAACCTTCGGGAATTTGACAAACATATCCGTGTACGTTCCAACAGTCCACTGCTTCCCACTGCCCGGCGGTTGACCCTGTGAAGCAGAAATATATTCCAATCTGTCCATACAATCTTTCGCAAACAAAAATGTTATGTAAAATCCATCAGGGTGTGAGAAAATGCTAATGTAATATTGATGGACTTTACCTGTATACACCCGTGCACAGTCCTCTCTGTTGACGGTGTTTTCTCCAGGATTGTTGGGGAACCAGTTTTGAAAGGTGTTACCATACCCGACCCCATCTTCCCAATGCCATCTTCCGTCATCGCCAAAGTCTGTAAAACATTACATTTATTGAAAAAAAAAACTTAAACTAGAACTCACAACTGCAGAGTCAGCAACATTTAACGAAATCCGGGTTTCGCGCGGGCACAGTACGTTCGGTGGACGTGCTGGTCGAGGATGTTTATAAGCCGGTCGGGCTTGCATGATTAAAAAAAATCAAGCGTTACGATTTCTTTACCCTTCTCACTCAGACTATTAAAAATATTGAACGGATGCCTAACACACATACCTGACAATCCTATCCAGAGGTCTGTAACTCCTGCAGCTTGCAACGACGGGAACATGGAGTTGATGAAATTTTGTTGATTTTGGCTTTAAGAAAAAATTATATTTATTATTATTAGACTGTGATAACAAAAGAGATTTTATTGATATACCAAATGGCACCAGTGTTCTTTTTAACAATGCCACATTATAATACAGCATACATGTAAGGTAAAACACCACCACCAAAGTTTCATTACCGTTTTATAAAGGATAGTGAAGTTTCATGTACTTATGTATTGTGGCCAGCCTGGCTCCGTGTGACTCGCAGTCGTGTCTGGCTTCAATCCAGGGTCCACGGTTTTGGACGCTGAACTGGTAGCACTTGTTTTGGAAATTACGCCAACCAGCCGGGCAAGACCCTGTGGGAGTAAAAACCGTTTTAAAATGTCTTATTTATCAACGTTAAGTCAAGAAGCTTTTTCTGTTAAAGGAACCAAATTTACATGACCTCCAAATCCCTAGCATTTGCCACGGACGTGTTATTAATGTTTCTCATCGATTATGCAAATGAGGACATCGTTTTCATAAATTACATATGTTAATTATCCTCTCTACACAATATCGGAGACAGCCTTTCTGCAGCAAGGCAGCAGAATTTGGCAGGACCAATGCATGACTATCCCCAACTTAGTTCGTTGGTTGGCTCTTCCTTACCTGCAGTTCCAGTCTCACAGATGTATCTGTTCTCTAGTCCACACCGTCTGGTCTCCCATCTTCCCCCGCCTCCGTCGTTCAGGGACAACACACAGGTTGCTCCCGGCCACTGCCAACTGTAACACCCAACAGAGTTAGTTTTCATGATATCCTGCTAGCCAGACCATCGTCTCCCAAGTATATCTAGAGTGCTGGGTCTAGGAGTGTTGCTTGCTCGCCCAGGCCCATTTTGTCACACAGGTGTTCATAGTGTGTCAGTGTCAAGCAATATTTTTTACCTGTCGACGTTTTGGTAGGCCATCTATCACCATACACATGGCATGGTAGCACAGATTTATTCTATCTGTGTTCTTACTAGACTAGTTAACTGGTTTGGTATTTGGTAAGTTAACATACTTAGGCTGCCCGCCTGTTGTGAAGCGATCGTAGGTGAAGTTGTCCATTCCATTACTCCACTGGGGCTGGTTTGGCGCGGGTGAATTCTGCAGTCAAAATGGCATATTCTTTGTACGATATCGACACACAAGATTAGCAATAATACGCAAAATGTATTATAATTTGAGTCGTCGGGTACCGGTCTGTCTCTTATAGTCAAAAACAATTAGCGTTCTTCTAGTTCTAGTGGACTGGGACAAGAGTTAGACCAAGTAAGTCAAGCTGCTTATTATTACTAGTTGCTTACTTTCCCAACATAGTCTTGAGATATGCAATGTCAAAATGTGCAATGGATACAGCTTGGTCAATTTGTTACTGTCTTTGCAGCCACCAAGACATCTGCTTGGGGATTAGCTAATAAGAGGATGTGATAAGATCAACTTACGACATTAGACAGACCAATCCAGACTCCGTCTGGCCTAACGGACAGGGACTTCTCGGCGACGTAAGCCTGTTCGTCCAGATCTGTGATGGAGACGAGGTTGGCGTTCCTCCTTTCGCACTCTTTCTGTGCGTCCAACCAGCTTAGCTTCGGCTGGTTGTTACTGAAAAAGTAGCATCGTCCGTTCAGAAGGTTCCACCCTCCTCTACACGTTGTTGCAAGTCCTGTTATGATGAATGAATTGATGAATGAATAAATGAATGGGGATCGAACAAAACAAGGAAATGTTAAAAACCCACTATAAACACAAATATATAGTATTGAAGGCACCAAGCACTTCTATTTCTATTTGACTGATGTGCATGGCAATCAAATAGATATAGAAGTCAAACTAATTTTTTCTCATTATATACATATATATGTATATATGTATGTATGTATATAATGATTATATAGTAATTTGCCACTTACAACATTGGATAAAGGGAAGGGGCGCACTGTACAAATCACTTGAATATCGTTGCTTCGTGTGCACGGAAGGTAACAAAATAAGTTATATCCTGAGTGTACGTTACATTGCAGTTGTCCCTTGTGTTATGCTAATAAAAAGGCGGAATTGAGAAACTAAAAGCGCAGATAGGAGGAGGCTGTTTTTTGTTTGTTTATTAAATTTGCTCACCAGTACGTCTCTCACAGATGTATCCATGCATATCTGTGCACGCCTGGTCATTCCACCGTCCGTTAGACAGGATCTCGGCACAGTCCTCGCCGTTCTGGTTGTTTGGCTCGTTTGGGCCCCAGTTGCTGCAACACAAGATAAAGCACAATTTCGAGTATTTAATTCCCTCGTTTAGTAGTGTGTATGCGTGTTTGTATGCTTAGAAGAGGCCCCGATAAGTTTATTTTTAACATGATCGGATATATCACAGGGAGGTTGCTTAACATGTGACATCCTCACTGAGTGAAACAAGTACATTTATTTGTATTGCACTTATAGGCTCTTTGGAAGTGTATCATTAAGCAATCTGGAATTCCTTCTTAAAAGTGGTGCTCCTCGTTCTAGCCTAGTACCAAGTCCGCCTCAAAGTACGCTAGAGATCGATTTTTAAGTGGCCTGAAAACCTGAGACGTGATTGCCCCCTAGGCCTGTTCTTGGGGGCACAGTCAAACGTGTCCTTACGGTCACTACCCACTGACCTCATGAGCTCAGTCCACGACCCTAACTTATGTTGACACGGACTCACGTGACTGCAGGGTCGTAGTCCGTGCCGTCCGCCCACTGCCAGCCGTCCTCTGCCACGATGTCGGACAGACCGAACCAGTAGGTGGCGCCGACCTGCGTCCCCATATAAGTCTGCAACGGAACAGTAATGGGCCAAGGTCAATGTTGTATCCACAACCGTATCAGTAGCCTGGGTTCCATCCTGGTTAGTTTACGTCCGCTCCCACAGTGGTTGGTGGTAGCGACTGTGGGACCGGACGTAAACTAACCAGGATGGAACCCAGGCTACCGTATCAGGGGCGACGGCAGGAAATTTCGGATGGGTGGGGGGAGATTTTGAATGAACAACCACCCGCCCCCCTATCGAGCGCCAAAGGGGGTTCTGGGGGCATTCTCCCCGGTAAAAGTAGAAATCTTAACCTTCTGAAACGCCATTATCCAGAACCATGATCAGGAACAGTTCTGGATAGTTCGCGCGTATTGAGAACCCTGCTTTGCCCGTAACTTTGATCAGGCACAGTTCTGGATAGTCCGCGCGTATCCAGAACCATGCCTGCTACATATACGGTCTTTGATACCCGTACCCAGAAATGACCAAGAACCGTGCATCCAACCCATCCAGGTGCTAAAGTAGACAGCAAATAGTCACCAAACACAGTAATCATCATTTAATGAGATCTTAGGATACCGCAACAGAAACATCGACACATCTGTCTAATTTGTGTATTCTAGATCACCCCTCTCTACAATGGCATCGTCAACATATCTCATGATGATACTGTTATTGACTTCTGATACCGGTATATGTTCCATGGTGAATGTAGGGGTGATACAAATATTAAAACATGTTATTTTCTTTTAAAAAAAATTGATTGTGCTTGAATTCACACTCGTAATTATGTGACCTCACCTGTTCATCTGCAGTAGTAAGACTAGCCAGATCTGCCTGGAGCTGATGACATGCGTCCCTGGCGTCTCGCCATGTTTTTGGCGTGTCCACTAGCAGGTAACAGGACCGCTGGTTTCTCAGCCACCCGTCTGGACATTGTTGCGACGACACTAAAATAAAAAAAAGGTTAAATGTAATAGATAGACTTAACAAGTGATTGAGGATTGCAATGAGCCAAATCATATAAGTAAAAAATACATGGCGTGAAACATTCTTCAAAAACTTAAAAGGTGGTGAAAAAAGTGTTTTGTTATAACTTATGGTCATTTCAGAACCTTGTTCTCGAAGCAGTTTACTTGTTTTGTACCAATTTAAGTATTTTACCATGTTGTTAAAATGGTCAAATTATACATTAGTTAAACGGCATTTTCTGGGATCAAGAACCACAAAGGAAATTGTAACACTTGAGTAACATTGATTGATTTTATCTTTATTCTAATAGAAATTCAGTATCTATCTACATTTTTCTAAGAATGATGAAAATGTCAATAAGATACAGATCGGGCAATATTGATGTAGTGAGTTGGTAAACGTTTCGGTACCATCAAACGTTTTTTAATGAACTTTAGTCCTACTTTCCAAATTAAAGGGGCTGAGGTTTATGACCTATAGCTCAAGAAAGGGACCTGTATGTCACTAATATGAACTTTGTCTTGTTGACAATGTTAACAGATCAGATATTTGCAAGGGACGAGGGGGCACCAAATGCCATTTTATTTACACAATTGGATATGCAATACACACTGTAGCGCACTTGTATAACGTAGTACATCGATTTGTAGGACGATGACATTGCATGTTTTATGGTGCATGTGTATGATGCTTTTGGAGCAGCAGCACACTACGAAAGGTAGTACTAAACATTCCACAAACACCTATACCCCACTCAAAAATCAAAACCCCTAGCTTGTCCAGAACACAAAATATCATACCAAGGTACAAGTTGCTAGATTACCAATAATTGACCTTGCCTTTGTGCCTTTTTTTATGTCCCAACCCCTACCTATACCAAATATCATAAAGATACACGCACACACCAAGTTATAGTTCTTTAAAAAATCACCATCCCTATATATATATGTACGTAACACACCTTCTCGAGCTCGATGAAGGTATATGTTTTAGTCATGTTTTTCAACATTGGTTAACTTGATTTGACTGGAAAGCATTCATTATAAACTTGGGAAGGCCATATTATCACAGTTCAACCCCTCGATACTGCCTGCATGTCCGTAGAACTATTTGCCACTTATATACCTTTCAAGAAGGTGGGCGGGGCAGTGGGATAGGCTAGGGTGACAAAGCTGGTCTATTGGTCAATTAGCAAACGTTCACTCTAGCGGTCGGTATAGTATATCAGTTGTGGCACCTAGTTGGCCATTACAGGCGCTAGAACGTACGCGATTGTCAATCATGTCTTTGTCACTATAATATTTGTAATATTTCTAAAACCGTAATCTTTAGAGAGGACTCTGGAACATTGAGCTTTAATAGCAAGGAACAATGTTACAATTAAGTGTCCAAAATTCTTACCTTTCGTTGACCTATTAAGTAACTAGTTCTAATTAAAAAATCGTGAACTTTAAGAATGTGGCCTTGAACAAAACTTAGAAGGTTTCATTAATAATTAATATTTTTGTCCTTGCTACGTGCAGTTTGCAAATACCTGTCGTGAATTTTCTGTGTACCAACATCATATTATAATAAACGTTGCGATAAAGTTTAAACTTTGTTCTAAGACAAAAGGGAACACACCACGAGTTTTCGGTCGAACTCTTAAGTTGTGTTGAACAAAATTAAAATTTTCCATCATGGATTTCACCATTACAGATGAGCTTTCATCCGAATATTATGAAAGTTGTTAAAGTATTTATCAGTCTTGTTTTGTATGGATGGCTCAACTGAAGATTTACATAATGTTTCTTCTTTCTTACATCATCCCCACCACACAATCATATAATATCAACTGTACATGTCTGTATTTGTTTTGACTATTGCATTGATACCCGCATTCAATCTGGCCTATTATTGCGAAAACACATTGTATCTAAGGTCAGCTAGCACACAATGTATCTATAGACAAACACCATCGTAACAAGCAGTGTTTTGTGCTTACCTGAGTTCAGAAGACACAGTAGCAGACACGATCCGAGCAGGACCACATCGGAACGTCTTCTTTCCACCATGACTCCCATGTTTCTGCTGTTTTGTAAGATTCGGCCAGGGAGCTAACCTTTGCCATACCAAAGTTCGCTTGTGGGCGGGGCGAAGAATTCTGCGTTTGTGTTAACATTAAATATTTACAGGTGTTCTAGCATGTTTAGAACGTGCTGTTTTGAAGCTGAAAATGTTACAAAGAGGTATTTTAATGTGCTCACAAGCATAGTATGAGTCGCCACAACGCTTCAAAATAACAGTAATTTAAAATAATTACGACATAGTAACATTTGTTGGTCCCAGTATTGATTGCTTACGTAAACGGTATTGATTTTTCTCACGTTTATTTTGTAAAGGGCAAAGAGGTTGATACAGGCAGTGCCAGGGACATGCCAGATTAGGGGACGGGTGAGGGTTGAGAGGGGGAGGGTTGAGAGGGGGAGGGGCGGTGTTTCCAACATTGTACTATTACTCTGGACTCCCTCGTCCAGATGTATGCATTGTCATTCTTCGTGCTTTAATTTTAGGGCCTTTTCAATGATGGATACCTCCGTACATGTTTACTCTTAATTGAAGTATATCAGTATTTTTAGTTGTCATAAACATGTATGTGACTTCTTAGCTCTCAGCTCGAGACACACCTGTAGCGTAAGCCAAAAACACTTGTGGTACAGAATCAAATTTAACACGAACACCAAGTATTATATATGTTTTGAAGTCACCTATGTCCCGGGCCATACCTTTGCTCTATAGCACGCGGTGTTCACGTGAACTTCTGGATGTACGTTTGATTGTCAGGCAGGTCATTTTTATCGTGCACAAAGGTTAGGTAACCTTCGACAGGATTGGTTTGTTTGGTTTGTGCGCAGACAAAAATACGGCTGTTATCGCGGAGGCAAATTTATTCTGTAACTATGAGAGGCTGGCACTGAATTTACTCATAAGGATAGGGCAGTGTTTAACATAATCATTAACTAACGGCGTGCATGCACTGTTTTGTCTCTTACTTGTAATGAATTGGTCTGGTGGCATGTCGTAATAACAAGTGACAAACGTGTGATTTGATTATGTAACTTCTATTAAATAATATGCACTTTACTGCGACCAACGCAACGAAATTGTTAATTAAAGTAATAAACACTCAAAGGGTACTTCATGTGTAAAATGACAGGTGTATTAAAAATTGAAATGAACTGAATAGATTTTATGATTTTGTTGAAAATGTCATGAAGTCTTTCCTACGTTGGTGTCAGTAAGTAACCTATTGTTTAAGCAAAGTTACATGAGCAAATTCTACTTTTGTCATGTTTTGTTATTTAATATACGCCGCCAGTTCAATTTCTTTGCTGGGGTAGGCCTGAGCTGACAAAGTTGTTTTTGCACTCGGTAGAGCGGTACCCCGGGTAACATGGAGTCTATTGTGACGTGCCGTGTACTAGTGGTTTGCAGGCTCGACATTGTAGTGGGTGTTCTCAACCCAAAAACACCACTGATAGGAGTAACTGTTGTAACTTAACGGTAAAGACGTCAGAATGACTCACTCTTACTTTGAAGCGAGCTAGTTGAGAAATGATATACGGCATATGTAATACCCATGCCACAAGGTAAATATTGGTGCAATGAAAAGTCAGCAGTTTCAGTCGGGCTACGGGATAAATAATTAGAAGTTCACCGCAACTCACTGTTTCCCTGGGATTATCCATGCCTGTACAGGTGAAGTTAAACGGCATGTATTTCTTCAGCAACAAATTCCCAAACATATGTAACATTAAAATAGAAGATAGACAATCACACCGCTCCCCGCAAAGAAGAACACAATACTCGCAGATTCAGTATACATAAAACTATATTTACTATATAATACTCTGTACAAACATCTTTGATATTTGTCTATCTCCTTCTTAAGTCAGGCTTTTGTAAAATACCGATGTTTTCTTTCAACCATAGATACATAGATACACATATATATAGACAGATCACAACGAACTTCTATGAGAGGTTCGGAAACAGTTTCTAAGCGTTCTATGATCTTTTTCTGCTTATAAATCGGCAGAATGGTATATATATAATATACTGCATAGAATGCTTTTCGATACAATCTGCTGTTATTATTCACAATTCCATATTTTCAAAATGCTCACAGTAATATAGATACACGTATAGATACATAATCAAATAGTAATATTGTCACGGGTCACCATTGCAAACAACTTAAGCCGGTATATACCATGTCCGATTAAATACCAATTTACAATAACAATATATTAAGCCGTATGAGACATTAAGACAAGAATGATCCATTATACTACAACTTTTGTGGTCCGTTGGCAACTCCGTGTCTTGCGTGGCCAGTCAGTCAAGTAAAGAAATGACGACACACTCAAGTTAATCGAATGATATATCAGCACTGCCATCAAGATATAACGATACATAAACTAACAGATATTTATACGTAATCAGAACAACAATTTTAGATTAAATCATAAACAGCTATGAGCGCAAGTCCTAACCCCCTTCGGTGGTACTTCAGGTAGGAAACTATTAAAATAATCAAATCTTATGAATTAAGTAAGTGCGGAATGTTCACTTTTGAAGATAAAATCCTGAGTTACACTCACTCATACTTTCACAACTAATCTTGGGGAAACAAAAGAGGTAGTCTTTAACAGACTAACTACGCTGGCTATACATAGGAGAATAATTGCCAGGGGAGTTCGGCCGCCTTGTAGGTTTGATAGGCCGCGCTGGGAAAGAAACTACCTCCCCGCGGCCGGACTCCCTTCTCCAATTTTACTCTCTTTTTTTTCGAATTTTACGATCCGTATTCCCACAGAAAGGCCTGGTGGAGGCTAAAAGAGGATCCATAAAGTAGCCTGGATGCCATCCTTTGTAGTTTCCACCGGCTCCCTTATGTCGCTGACTACCGTAGTAAGAGCTGTTTTAAGGCATCGTCAGAGAATTTTTGTAAAAAAAAATGAAGTCATGTTTCGAGTTTTGAAAACGTGCCAAATTGGCGGGGAAATATCGAGGGTTATGACTAAAATGTTTAACTAACGTACGATTTTAACAATATCATGATCAAGTTAATTCATACCTATGGCAAAGGAAATGTCTCACACCAGTGAGGTTTATAACCTAATACCTATCAATGTAGGTAAATCATGCAATTAATCAATCAATGGCTCTTTGACAAACTTAGATCACACAGTGGTCGAGCAAGCCGGCAGCTCGTAGTTATCTTCACTGCCGCAAGAGGGCGTCAGTAGACCGTCCGGATCACTGCTGTAGTCAGAGTTGCCTTCAGAGGTGAGGGCGAGCTCTTCATAAGGCACCATCCCTTCGGTTTCAGGCGGGTACAGACCAGCTTCTATTAAGGGGAGATAATCCACACAGTGTGTAAATAGGGAAAAACATTAAAGAGTGTTTAAATGTTAGAGACTGTATGTTAGAGAATAGTTGAACCTCTAATATTACCGCTGAGCTGACATATATTCTATACGTAGTTTGCTGTATGCATGTATTCGTAGGATATCGATGACATACTTGTATTCACCTTTGGTCGAGTTTAGTCGTACTAGACCATATAAAAGTTCCTGTACTTTGTCGAGTAAAGAATGAATCTGTGAATCTATCCAGGTATGAAAGACGGACATGTAAATGATCAATATACCATCAAATTTTGATGCATGTATGCATAGTTAATTCAAGTCAAGTCAATCTTTATTGCACAACAATTGTAACGGGTACAATGCATGGCAAACTCTTCAGTACTACACATCTAGCTAGCATCTACTCTTACGTTAATATGCTACCAGAATCCTGTACCATACACTACAACAGCATATAATGCTTTATCCATGTACTGGATAACTACTAATATGAGATTTGAAGTTGTATATTACCGCGTTGAATGTGTGCCAGCGAATCCGCTACCCACTGGTTGACGGTTCCGTTCTTGACTTCTGAGACCTTCGTGGTGTCAGGAACTATGGCGAGGTATTCCTGATACACCAAATACAAACATAATAATTAGTATCCAGATTATCACATAGGCCCTTTACCGATTACTGTGTTCCAATTATTTTCTTCTTTAAACCAAGCAGTTCTATATCTTGTCTACAGTTGGGACAGTATACTGACGCTAACTACTAAAGTACGATTCCATTAATAAGTCGACATACGATTTTTCTGTGGCAGGATTGTCAGCAGCCTTAAGCTTTTGGCTACAACTCACGCACGACTATCCCAAGCTAGATATCCTAAATGGTTTGCGATCGTACGGCGATCGTATGACCAACGTGACCTGGTCCTTGTGAAGTCGCGTGTGTTTTATACATACCCTGTTCTCGGAGAGCATGCAGTCCAGCTCTGCACACAGCTCACTGAATGTTGGTCTCGCCTCCGAGTTCTCTTGCCAGCACTTGAGCATGATTGCGTACCTATAAAAAGACGGACAAAGACAGAAATAAGCCAAAAAGACAGACCCACCCGTAAAACTTTTACGGACGTAACAATACCACCTTCACGGAGTTAACATCTGAATAAAATCATTTTCACATCTATGTCGAACAAAAGGACCAAGGTTCAGTGTTTATACGAGCTTGCTGAATTTCAAGGTTTTCCAAGGCCTAGGTTTGAAGATATTGATGTTTTTTATGACTGTGGGGAAGACGAAGAGGGAGAAACTGAGCAAAAACAATTTGTTTCCTTTTGCGAAGGTATCATAACAACTCACAGCTCCTCGGAGCAGCCAGTCGGGCGGAGCATCCTGAAGCCGGTTTTCAACAGCTCACACACACGCTCAGGCGGGATGCCGGGGTACGGAGTAGCGCCTGGGCAGAAAACTGATGTTTAGTTGTTGCCGCATACATGTATTCTGTATATTCTGTATTTTATACATGTATCTAGTGTTAGATCTTCAGCTGTAGAAGGCCATATAAAATTCCCTGTACGTTTTGTTAAGTCAATAAAGAATCACTCATATATTTGTATATATGCTTATAAATTACAAGATTTTAAGGTAAAGTTTGTTGATTGACTTCAGACTTTTTAGATTATCAAACATCATATTTAGAGGCATCAACTTTGTTTTATCGATCACATAATGTGGCCAAACATTCCTCTGTAGCGCCATAAGCACAAGTTAATGATGGAGACCGCCCTTCATTAATGTCCGGACAGTAATGCGCAACTGTAACAATGATGAAATTTTCACCTTTTTTTAAATAACAGCGTCATGATAATGGAATCCTTATGGCGCATTTGGATTAGCGTTTGTTCATTTAGAGGAATATTTCAGTTATACAAAGAATGGTAAGAATACAGAATGTTTCTCGCTTACCCAAAGTGACGATTTCCCACAGGAGCACTCCAAACGCCCACCTGTTAACGACATAAATTCTATAATTACTGTGCACATGTAAAAAAAAAAGACACGTTCGTCATATGTTAAGTTTTAAAGAGAATAAAAACAAGTTGTAAGATAAACATAGAAAACACTTACACATCACTTTTGGTGGTGTAGATATTGTCAAACAGGGACTCGATAGCCAGCCATTTTACGGGTACACGGCCCTAGTAGTAAAGGGAAGAAAATGGAAGGTTTGAATTGGAACTTTGATGTGCACATTAGGCTCCTGTTACAAATTCAAAATCTTTCCCCCAAACACCAAGCTTAAACGACGAAGGTCTGGCCAGATTTGGGCCATGCTAGCCTGGTTATAATTACCAAACATATTATAGTTCCTGAGTCCTACATTCTCTCCTTGTCTGTCTATACGACTGGTATCGCATCCACAAAACTGCCCTTAGTGTTCCATCCGTAACTAATTTCATCAGGTTGGTAAACGAATAAATATCAAAGTTCTTTGATCACAACCATTTATTTTTTACGAGCCGACGTTTCGATGACCGTCTGTCATCTTCATCAGGGCAATTCTGACTGGTTTACTGTGCTCTGACGCTAGATGTTACCAGTCAGAATTGCCCTGATGAAGATGATAGATGGCCATCGAAACGTCGGCTCGTGAAAAATAAATGGTTGTGATCAAAGAACTTTGCTATTCTGTCCTTAGTGTTGTTTTCTCAGAATAGTAACAGTAGTATTTCCCACCTTGCTTTTCTTCATGTACGCGTCTTCCTCGTACACATCTCTGGTCAGCCCAAAGTCTGATATCTTCATGACGTACCTGTCCGTGACCAGGACGTTACGAGTGGCCAGGTCCCGGTGCACCAACTGTGAAATTACACACGTATCAATCATCATCAAGCCAAATTACATTCAATGATTATTTCAATCATTCCAATATCTATTAGAATATATTAGAAGATTATGCAGCAAGGGAAAGCATAGTAATTTAGCCCTGTTTACGCCCTGTCGGACCTTTTTCAATCCAACATTTCTTACAAGACATGGCGACGGCACACTCAAGTTTTCCAGTTTATTTCTATGCCGCCATCAACGCAGACAAACGCATGAACGGACGGACAACAGACATACTCATTTTCACCCGACTGTTAAGTGAGGAAATTCGTGTAAAGTGCCTTTCCAAAGAGCATGCAGAAGATCGGAGGCATGGCAGGATTCGAACTCGGGACATCTTGGTTCCGAGCCGAACACTCTGTCACTACGCCACACGACCCCCCCCCCACACACACACACGACATTTGTTGTATCTGAAGCAACTGGTTTAACATAAAGTAGTTTTTAAATTTGCTGAAGTCTCATTCATCATCATCATCTTTGATACTGCTAAGCCTTCTAGAAAGAAGATTACTAGCAGCTGCGCATTACGCCATTAGTGGCTGTGTGCAAAGTGCAAACAAAGGGTATGGTAAGGGTAACAAAGGGTATGGTAGGGGTAACAAAGGGTATGGTAGGGGTGCATGTCATTGCTAACCTTCATCTCCGCCAGGTACTGCATCCCCTTGGTGATCTGCCAGGAGAAGGACAGCAGGTCCTTCGGCATCAGACTCTCCTCGTCGCTGTTCGAGTTCGGGTAGTTGTCATCCAGGAAAAGTACGGCATCCTTCCTTTTACTCCGGAGAAAGTCCCTCAGGCAGCCGTGTTTCGCGTACTCCACAATGACGTAGACCGGGCCTACGCAGAACGAGGTTAGAAGTCACAAAAAAGCAGTATACATGTACCCGAAAATTAAAGTTTATTGCACATACATGCTCGAGGACTAATTGCAATAATTCAACATGTATGAAAAAAACGAAAATACAGCGATATAATAGACAACGTCTAACGTTATGCTACGTTCTAAAACATACGAGGTACTACCGTACTAGTTTAGCTGGGCATGACTTCTTATTTTGAGGCAGTGGAAGACGAATAATCTTGCTGAGAGTTAACTGAACATTCAATTGAATATAAATGATTTTACGATCTCATAAGACAGATGTTGTTTTTAAAAGTTTGAATCTACATGTACAAAAAAGTTTTGCATTGTATGCTCTGACAGGTAATGTAGATAGTCACACCTGTATCTGTATCTGTATAGCCGGTATAACCGCCTTTCGGCGTAACACACCAGCTAATGATAATATGGCGTAACACACCAGTTAATGATAATGTACTGACCATTTTCCGTGCAGGCCCCGATGAGCTTGATGACGTTCGGATGAGACACTTGTGCCAGGAGTTCCAGTTCTGAGATGAGATCGCGCATCTCGGAGGCAGAGGCATAATCTGTGGTCACAGACAGTAAGTAGATACTTAAGTACGTAGATACGACAACGGTCATTGAATCATCTGGTGATTCCTTGTCCCCATTGCCTTGTTCATAGAAATACATGCATGAAATGCTGCAGACATGCGTTCTAGGCGAAGCAACCGATACATATCCAATTCGTGACGGTAAAGGACTTATTGGCAAGCCAATAAGTGCATTACCATGTTGCTAGATGACATCCTTGGGTCCTTCAGAGTAGTACTTAAGTGCAAAAGAAACATCGGGATATTGGCTGCATTGCACAGGCTGATGGGAATCTTAACCTGGTCCAGTGGGACCAAATGACCGCATTTATGTTCGTCGTAGTGCAGATTTGATGGCGCAGAATTTTCAAGCGGGCTGTCGCAGAACGACAGCCCTTTTCCGTAATAAAACAGCCGTATAGGACACACGCACGGCCATCCCAACAATGCCCTTGTGCATGTGGTGAGGCCCTAAGGACTCTGAGGTATTCGGGCACAATCACTGTTTTGCGCAGATATGATTTGTTTGATGCGTTTACTAAAGCGTTGAATTAATGAATGGATAATAAATTAATGGTTGAACGAATGGATGAATGAATGAACAACTTGCATTGACAACTTGCATTGACAAGTTGCATTGGCAAGTTGGCATGAAGAACAACTTGCATTGACAAGTTGCATTGGCAAGTTGCATTGGCAAGTTGTTCTTCATCCATCCATCCATCCATTCATTAATTCAATAATCATTTGTTTATTTTCAATTCATTCATATCCTTGAGGAAGTTAACCTCCTAACCTTTTAACATCTTGACTGCCACAGAGGACACGCCCTTGACGTTGGCGACGTTGGTGGCCTGTGCCTTCACAACCTTGCCGAACTCGCCCTCTCCAATGGTCTCTCCTAGAACGATGTTCTCACGAGGTATTTCCCACTTGGCATCGACCTGTGATAGGTATACGTGTCATTAATATAGCGCGTTCACTGAAACTGAAGAAAAGACAAACCATTCAACTACAGTGATGATACATTTCCGGTTTGTTTCCACATCAATCTACATGGCCTACTTAAAGATATTCTCGTGTGAGTTCTTACTTACTTATGTCGAGGCCTGATTTCTCTTGTCTCAAATCGTGATGGCTACCCATATGCCTCTGTCAATCATTTCCTGTTTTATGTTTATGTTAGTGGTTCCTAAATGTTTGAACATATTTCAGTAATCTTAAATTACCTTTAAGTAGTCTCATAACTTTCTCGTCAGCTAAATATTGCCGAAATATCGTCTGTAGTGAAAAACAGATCTGTACCTTTATCTCTACAATAACTGGGAAGCGAGGAGATGTTGAATTTACATAACGATATTTGGTTAATTTTGTATCTGTTAACCGTGTCCATTCATCTTGTTTGTTGTGACCTGTACTTAGCCAAGTGTGGCAGAAATGTACAATAAAGGTCTTCATCCATTCAATGAAATCTCGTGGAACTCACCCAAGACAGAGGGTAGTACCCCCCACTGGCGACGACTGTGTCGGGAAACAGCGGGTCCCAGAGAGAGGGCCGCCTGTATCTGTAGGTACTGTTGACGTACATGGACGGCACGGCGAAGGTTGGAGAATCGTCGTCCTCCTGGACGTCCCGCGGCGGAGCCTTGTTGAACCTCCGGGACAAAAGGATGCCGGCTACGGTCACCGATAGGGCAACAGTCAGCCCGAGCCCGATGGCCAACTGACAGCCGAATGCGCACGTCGATACTCTCTGTTTTCTTTCTGCAAAGAGAGTTTCAACATGTTCCCCCTTGAAATACAGACCAAGATTTGCATGCAAAAATGGCAGGAAGGCACGAATGTATGAATAATGGTAAGTAAACAAAATCGACAATTACAATATTCTGTATGTTAATAAGCTGAAGTTATTGTTATCTCAAGTGACAGGCCATACGTTCTATGGGATACTAGTGGTTGGTAGGCCGACAAACTAGTGTTGAAAGTACAATAAATGTGACATATGTTCAAATACACACAGACGCATACATATTTACCTTCTTTAGACTTCTGATTACTTGTCGTATCTTTGTAGATGACATTATCTGGTGTTCTTGTCGGCTCCTGTTTCGCTCCTGCTGATGTTTTGATGGACGGAATACCTACAAAAACCATTTGTGTTTACTAATTGTGTCCTCTTCTGGCCGCAGGTCATATACTGGTACTTGACAACTACATACTGTGTAGTCCTCACGCACACGTTCCGGTGTAGGCGCTATGTGCAGGAATTCAGAAAGCGGTGTAATACACGATTAAATTACATCATACAACCCCCTCCACGGTTTGATGTATTGAAGGAATATTAGCCTGGAGTCCAGCCTTGCTAACTCTAGTCCGCTCCCCAAGATCCGCTACCCCGCCAACATGGCAGCGGATCTTAGCGGATCAAACCGTGGAGGGGGTTGTATGATGTAATTTAATCGTGTATTACACCGCTTTCTGAATTCCTGCACATAACGCCTACACCGGAACGTGTGCGTGAGGATTACACAGTATGCAGTTGTCAAGTACATCATACAACCCCCTCCACGGTTTGATATATTGACCACAACAGTTTCCGTAAGTTTTATTAGATATCCGACTTCTTGTTGAATTGAATTGAATTCGTACATAAGTGTAAATTTCCGAGTACAGTTTCTTCTGTTTCACCGGGTCCTCATGTGGTATTCACGACAACAGGTTCCGAAAATTTTACTAGATTTCCGATTTCTTGTTATGATTTGTAAATGACTTGACAATTTGTAAATACTGAGTAAATGCTGTTCTGAGTACTAACTTGCTTCACCCATTATGCCCGGTCCACATGTACAGCTCCGTGGCGTCCCGCAGTGACATGGTCCAGCCGCCGCCCCCACGCCTCGCGCAGGTGTGTGGTCTTCATTCATTCTCGCTAGTCCAAGGATTTCGTCTAACAAGGACAAAGAACAAGTCTCAACTTTCCAAAATGATAGTTTACGGATCCAATGGATAACCCAGTTGATTCTTGCCATAATGTAGTTCCATTACTAAACTAAGTGTTCTTTCGGGCAGAAATCCTTCAGAATATCTCATCATCAGGAATTATAGCAGTATGCTATTAATTATGATATGAGACCCTTATCTATCACAATGTTTCTACTTCAACATGTCTGTCTATTTATGATTCCCTCAGTGAATGTGTATCTGTCTTTTCTGCGATAAACACATTGACAACACCATGAAACTCAAGACCAGAGCATGTCCAGAAAAGGCGATGCAAAATTAAGGAAGGTTATATATTTACTGATATAGTAATACTCTGACTGCTACTTACAAGCGCAGTCTTGTGGACACAACTCAGGATGATCCTGCTCCATTCGGTCGCACACAAAGTCTGGACACGTCCGAAGATCCGGAGAGCATGTCGCAAATCTTTCAGGGGAAAATTGGTGGTTAAATAATTAAGAAATGGACGTATTAGATGTGCGCTTTTATTCGCACTGCTTGCGTTAACTGTAAAACTTTAAACGCAGTTACCTTACATGCAAATTGCCATAGTTGCCACGTAAGACACGTGCAAAAAAACAAGAGAACTTACCGTCGACTCAATCGTTTTCGGAGTTGTGGTCTCCATTGGCACCTTCCACTGGGAGAACCGGGTCCACAACCGTTCTCACAAGCATCGGCGTTCATATGGGAGGCACACAGGGACGTGTCTAGGAACAGACAATGATGGCATATTGTGGTAGCAAAATTGACGGAGAAGACAGTTGCACAGAATAGGAGTTAAACAGGCCATTCCAAATTCTAACTCTTTCCTACTTACTGGCTTACAGACCAAATGTATCGCCCATGCCCACTGTTCTGAACATTACAAATACGATCACAAGGGCAGCAGGTCTTTTTGATGTCATTTATTCATTAAATGGACAGTTACTACCCAAAGATGGTTACTCTAAGGCCACCTTATTAGGCTAGGGCACTATATTAGTGGCGTCGATATGAGGGAAATAGTTCACCATTACTTGAATTAGTTTACTTACCACAAGTAGTTGAGTAATCGCCATCTTTCTCGGTAACTGTAAGATTAAGGATACCTAATATATTGTCATCTGTGGTAGTTGTATTTTTTCCGAAATGCAATTACAAACTGGACACCAGGCGTAATCCTCCAGCAAGTAACGAAATTAAGTTATTTGTGCAATACTCGATACCCTTATCCTATTATCCTTACACGGGTTATACAAACAGTTGATTTCTACATTAATAAACCTACATGTAAATCAAACAGGTCAACTATTGATATAGAATCATTGCGTTTCCTTCATTAATGTACAATTCCCAGCTCAATAACCGGCACTCCAATTTTGAGGTTACAATCAATAGACCCCTCAAGGTTGCCAGATATTGGATACAAATGGTACCTTAACAGGGAGCAAGGGCTTTAATTTCCGTCGGAGGTGAGAAGACGGTTTATGAAAGGAGTAGTTTTTCACAGTCTTTATGGTTGCCTGCTTTAATCTAACCACACCAAGGTTAGAAGGACGTAATCTCCACCCGAAGGCGGACCTCTGGTTATGAGGGTGTGGAGGGTTCAAATTACAATTTAACGCCGTATCGATTCTGTATTGTAAACATTTGTATGCGTCGTGCATGGGGTCAGAGCTTTTCTTGTATCGCTGTGATACTCTGAGAATCTTTTAAACTACGGGATTGTAAAGGTTGTATTGGTAACCACGGGAAGAAAACTTTTTTGTTGTTGCTTAAAAGTAAATAGAATTAAAGTTGATTTTGATCTGCACGTAAGACAGCCGTCTTGAATTAGGTTTGTTAATGTTTGATTGAAAATCAGATCTTAGGCCACAAATATTTGAATTAAACATTAAAGACGTTAAAATATTTAGGATTAAGACAAGCAAAACTTTGCGATTGACCCATGCCCACACTTTTGATTACGTTGTCTCTATCGCTTATCATTCAACCGATACCCTTGGAGTCGACACTATCACCACCATCTTGACTTACACGGCAGTGTCTCCTAGGGCAGGGGTCAACTCTGTGATTGGACACGTTTTGCAATCGGACCAGGAGAAAAGAAATCGATGGGAGGATCGGACCAGGCATCCAAACTGAATAAGTCGATGTCAATATCACTGCCAAAGGCCGGTGAACCATTACGTAATGTTTCAGTTGCCCTCAAAATGTCAGACGTAAAGACTCAATAAAGATCATTCAAATTTTAAGTACATTATCATTTATCTGTTGATAAATGGTTCCTTGAAATTCTGAAATATAGTATGCCTCCTTACTGCAAAGATATCATAAAATCTGCTCTGTTTGCTAACATAGAGAACTTTATTCATGGCTGCCATGCTAAAGCGTTCAACTCAAACCATTCATCTGCATAATTCCCCCCTCCCAGGAGGCATGAAACCGAGTAGTGGAATTGTAATTAACTGCCAGCTTGAATAGCCTGAATAACATTCCTGCCATCAGTCGACTGCACCATATTCTCATCAGCTATGCCCTGACTGATTAAAGGCCACAGCGGCTCATATCACTGCTGATGTGGAGGGTTATAGACCTGTAGCATTTAAGGAGGAAAAGTAGAGGGCATATACTAAGTACCACGTTTAGACAGTGAGTCGGAAGATCTATGCCAGATTCACTCCAACCTATGCCAGGAAAAAGAGTTTCATTGAAGAGCTTTGATATGGAAACTCTCTCTTCACCTTGTATGTCTATACTTGCAAAAGCGGTCTGATTGGTCGCTGGGTCGTAGGCCCGCACCTCGTACTGGAGCAATCCAGGTGCCAGGAGTGAAAGTAGCGTCTCATTCTGCAGGTAGAGATTCCCGGTGATGGGATGGACGCTGAACACTCCCCGGGCACGTTCCGCGGATGAAGCGATAGAGTAGGCGATCGGGCAATCCTCCGGGACTGCCTCAAGCTGAAGCTTCTGGACCTGCGGAATACCAGGTAAGCTCTTGTTATAATTTTTTGCAATATTCTATATCCAAAGGATCTTTTAAAGTTTTTAACTAATTTGTTTGCATAATGTATATTTTAAATCAAACGGATGTTAAAACGCTCGTCATATATTTTCCTGAATTTCCACGAGGTAAGCTTTCAAGAAAATATTACGAGCGTAATTTCGTGTGACTTCATCGCATGTCAGGCATCTTCCTCCAATCCCCCTGGCTTCATTAGTACCCGAAATCCAATGAGCCGGAACTCATGTGTGCAAGCCAAATCGAGAGAAGCTGGCTTTGAGCGAAACAAAATCTATACAATTAATTACAGGTTGATTCCATTTCAAACTTTCTTTTTTACACTTTGGACGAAGGTCTCCGTCAGAGTTATCGTTAACATCATTGGGGGTTTATTATTTGCAGTGCGTGTCAACCACATCGTGACCACATAGGCTATGATGTAAGAAAATACGTTTGTTGTGCTTGACACGTGAATAAAAGCTTCTTCATGCAGCTAATTCATTTCCACAACTCAAATGGAATTCAGTCCACTGATGTTGTCTCTGTTGGGATAGGCTTTCAATGAGGGGATCACTCATTTGCTGACAGGAATTGAATTGATGTCTTTGTATTTGCATTGCAATGTTCTTAGAATAACCACAATGTGATTAGCCTGTGGCTGATTGCTCTATCGCAATGCTGCACAGTCAACCTGTCTTTAAATACAGGTACAACTTAATTCCTGAGATGAATGGAAATAAAATGGGTCTTATAGAGACTAATGTACCCAATTAAGTTCTCTTAATCATATTACTGGGGAGTTTTAACTACAAATCATGTTAGTTACGTGATGTGTCACATCGGCAGACAGACTCCAACTTCATGAAACTATATATAAGTATCAAACGAAATAGAAGATCTGGCAGGATAGCTGTAGCTTCAACGATTTCAGCATGTTTACCTAAAGGTGAGTTTTAATGTAGTATGCATAAGTATTCCAACTGCAGATATTACTATACTGTGATGATTTTCTATCAACGCAGGGGTAATTTTAGTATTCTTTAGTGCTTTTAATTTTGATGTCATCCCCTTCTGTAAAGTTTTGCAAAAGGAACCATTTTGATATATCTTTCTTTCATTTGTTTTGAACCCTCTGCTGGTTAGGTAGACAATATCATTTACTTAATATGCTACTTTGCGAAGTGGGTGAAAATTGACTTTAGTTGTATTGTAGATAGGGGGAATCGCGTATTAGAAACGTGTTAGACAAAAATGATTAACATTGCGTCTAATCGCTTATTAGTATTTATAAAGTAATTGTAGTAATGGCATAAATATATTCTAATAATAGACACAAATTTACAGTAGTTTTGCCAACCAACGGCTAAAGCAGTAATGATATTTGGTAACTTCTTCACAATATGTATGATATATGAAGCTCTATGGCGTATGTTTATTCACCATCTAATACGTTTCTTAAAATATAACACTGTGAAGTTCTTTCCCTTTGAAGTGCATAAAATGGGCTTTTTCTATTAAAGAAAAAAAAGTTACGTACCCTGGTAAACTTTGTTGCACGTTTGTCCACCACGGCTTTGTAAGTGCGGTTTTGAAACTGTAGCTGAATCGGGTCGATGACGATGGTGAAGTTCAATGTTTCAAAATCTGTATTCTGTACAGCGTCAGCTGAAGTATCTTTCCATGTGATTCTGATTGGATATTCACCTTTCATCATGTATGGCACTGTTTTCTTCAAAAGCAGGTCTAAAAAAATACAAAGTTTCGATACCGATCGGAAAATACATAAAAATAAGGTGAAAGAGTTTTAAATGAACCATAAACCCCAGCAACAATTTGTTTTATAGCTTATTCATTCAACCTAACAGACAGCAATGAATACAGACGCTCGTTAAATTTGGAGCATCATCATACATGTACCCGTTTAACGAGACTCGTGAAAGAGCGCACATACGGACACCATTATTCTCCGATGCTAACAGAGTAGCAACATTACCTGTAGATCTGATGAATAAGGCATAAGCCATGCTGATCTTCCTAATCACCCCTCTGTGCCTAACGACTTTATCTCTGGGCTGATTGGGTTCGGCATCACCCAATCAGCCAGGAAACAAACCTGTTTGGCACCAGGTAATTCCTGGAGTCATTAGAAGTTGTATTACTCAATTACTGTCCTCATCGAACCGTGACGAAAATCGATTTCCGCTCTCCTGTATCCTTTATTTAGAGTCTCCTCGGTGATGATTTATATGGGGTGGTAATTGCTGGTGAAAATGTGGCAGAAAGTGGCGTCGTAAACGTCTATAATGGAGTTTTAAACGTGTTCCTAGGCCTATTTTGTCCTCGTCACACTCTAAGTTAAATGTTGTGGAGGGAGGTCTAGCATGAAGTACATGGTGTTGGAGAGAATACCCGTACAAAGTTTAAGCTATGAGCAGAATAAAAGCAATAAAGCAGTAAATAAGTGAAAAGGATAGAACATGTATCTACTTAAGGCAAAAAATTAATTATGCAGTATTTACATGTTTTCAGACGTGTTCCAGGAACTCCGGTTGGACCCGCTTGCTCTTCTATGTCTAGTTGAGTCTCGACGAAATCAGATATTTCTGTTTCTATGGCAACGTGATAGTGGTTGACTTCATGTGGGTTTGGCGCCAGGTCAGGGTCCCACAACTCCACTGGACTGGGCAAAATGTGACTTCCCTGAAAATAAGTGAATATTTGCTCGGTTGTGTTGGATATAGATAGGCCTGCATATTATACACAAAGTGTAGTGAAGCTTACTGTTTTCCTCGTTAGCAAAGTGATTGCTTTGTATATTGAGTGAGTCAGCCCCTTTGCCAATTACTGGCCATATGTTTGCTGAATTCCACCATCCATAACCCGTTAGGAAGGCCTGGTTGAGGTAATGAAAAAGGTCATTTGGCGTACCACTAAAGAAAGCTGAAGATCACCTTGTGTCTATCGGCAATATGCACGACATTTTGCCGGTTCACGATTGGCAGTAAACTAGGCTGGTTGTCGTTCACGTCGGTGACGGCCACGTGTGCAGCGGCAGTTGAGATGCTCTCAGTCTTCCTGCCGCGCGCTCTGTGATGGAGTCTGCAGACGATAGTGACGGGGTAACTATCTGTGGTGTCCCGGTCAAGCCGACGCGTGGTTACCAGTGCTGATGACTGTCTGTCTACGGCAAAGTCTCCATTCTCATTACCTGAGTATAGGTGCAACAACAATCTGGGTTATCGCAGCCGTCTAGGAAACAATGTGCATAATGCACAATGAAAACATTTTATCTACTTGAAGAGATTCTGAAATATGAAGCAGGCCCAAAACTATGACACGCTAAATAATTTTTTTCTTCAAATAAGCTCAATAATGACAACCCTATAAAATAATCAAAATCATTTTACAAGCTTCAATATAGGTAATCAATATGACTTTAGTACAAAACATTGTATTTTCTTTCTTACAATGTTTGTTTCTTCATGTACAATGTTCCTGATGCATTGATATAGTTATATAGGGTATATTTCATGTAGCGTTTCCTAGCAGTCACTCAAAAATCGGCTTGGGCAACCCACGTAAACACTACATCTCTTTTAGCATAATTGAACGGCCATTGTAAAAGCTACCTATTTTACGCCTTTGAATGAGCGTTGTAACTGTTTTATTGTATATTGTCCAGTTACCAGGGCTAGCCCTTAAAAATAGCCCCCGGCTAGATCGGCAGTCCTGGCTATATCATTTTATACACTCAGTATAATGAATCAAATCAAATCTCTCCAGTACCTTGGCTGATGCCGTAGGTAGCTCGGGTGTGTGGGCAACTGTTAGCAGCGTACCCTGGCGGAAATACAAACAGAACTGAAGGGGCTGACTCCTCTTCCACGCTGAAGATCAGCTCGGTCGGACCGAAGCAGATATCCTTGGGGTCACAGTTGAACGTTTGGTCCGGTTTTACCTCCACCTCTAGTAGAGCTGTGTCGTAGAAGTGGTCCGAAGAAGCCGCGATGGTGATCATCCATGTGATGTTTGACAGACCTGAAATTATTGAATGTTACATAATTTACCAAAAAAATCACAATATACTTTAAAATATCTAACAATCAAAAATATAACTACATACTTGTAGTGTGAAGGCAGTTTTAACTTTAGTTTTAGGTCTTAAACATGGTTTCAAATGGCTTCAACGTTTACATTCATACCATGTACCAGGACGACATCGATCCACTGAACTTAATTGGTCTTAAACGAGAAAGTTATTAAAGGTCCTTGTTAATGTTGTAAGAAGAGAAGAAGCTTTGGGTACTGTTGATACTTGGTAAAACAGTGCCACCTAGCAGATTAGACCTCAACTCCAAAATACTATTAAACACGTACCAGGATATAGTAGATGGACACCTCATTACAATTCTCACTAGGATCGCTGGTTCATTCGCAGGTTGTAGGGACCGAGTAGATATTATGTCACTATATACACTAATACTCCTCTAGGGTATTACTCCTTTATTATATTGTTTTTGCTCTGTGTCTTCTTCTTCCGTTCCAAACACACAAGGTCAATGACCTGAACCAGACGGCTGCCACCTGGTAACTGCTGCTGGCTTACATTGTGTTGCAGGTTGCAAGACAGAGTTGGACTAGAGTCACTATATATATATATATATATATGAAATGTGTTTGAGTAAGGATAAACAGAGCAGTAGTTTGTTAGGCTACACTGTGTGAAGGTAAACATTATGCATTTGCTTTGCAAATATCACCTTTCTACTAGTAGTTACCTTACCTTTTCCCACACAACGTGGGTTATTCACGGACGTATATACACGTCCGTCCTGTGGGTTGATGGAGAAGACTCCTGAGTCGGCAGCAACTGTTGTCTCGTCCCCGTCCTCCCCGCAGGCAATGTGACGTATGCCGTACGTCACAGTGACGTTCCCCCGTGAGACGGCAATGACCTGTGCGATGGGTGACATGACGTCATGGTCGCCGTACACGGTCGCGGTGTACACGAACCGCGGGAAGTAGAGATCTGCAGAGGAAAGCAAAGAGTGGCGTCGGTGGCGCAACGGTTAGAGCGTTGGACTCGGAACCGAGAGGTCCCGGGTTCGATACTCACCGTGGCCCAACGTTGGGCCCTTGGGAAAGGCACTTTACACGAAGTTCCCCACCATGTACATTGGAGTGACGCCCACCTAGCCTCTTAGGCTAATTGTCTAACTGGGTGCCAAAAACACCCTACGGATTTGGTGCGCCAATGTGTGAACATCAGCAACTTTGCTGTACATGTATACCCAGCGGGTTAAGTCAGACTGTCTCCACAGAAGACTAGACTACTGAGACATGTGTACTTTAACAATGTCAAGGTCTATAGTAAGTAATTATGAATTCGGCTCTTCTCTCTCCTGTGTGATGGCGGAGATGTAAGATAATAGGTGTCGTGATCCCAATAGAAAACAAATGATATCCTAGCGACATGCTGAAGCAACACCGTCGTGCCATGTATTTTAATTAATAGCTCTACAAGTAATAAAGAGGCTGTAGATAAGGTAAGTGACTTATTTGTTCAAGTTTGTTTGAATGATCTACATGGTTCTGGGGCGAGAGCTTAAAAATCCCCCGTTCTCGTACGCCATCCACAGGCATGTGGTATAATGGATATACATGGATGAATTAAAAAAAATATTAAATAACTTTGCTGTACCCACCGGCCGGGTTAAGTCTCCACAGAAGACTAGACTACTGAGACATGTGTACTTTAACAATGTCAAGGTCTATAGTAAGTAATTACATGTATGAATTCGGCTCTTCCCTCTCCTGCAGTGATGGCGGAGATGTAAGATAATAGGTGTCGTGATCCCAATAGAAAACAAATGATATCCTAGCGACATGCTGAAGCAACACCGTCGTGCCATGTATTTTAATTAATAGCTCTGTAAAAAATATGGAGGCTGCAGATAAGGTAAGTGACGAATATGACATTTGATTTGTAGATTTTTTATTCCTGATAAGTTTTGTTTTAACATTGTTATATTCTTAAATCCTAAATACCATTTTGTTATCACAAGTAATCGTGCCGCACAATTTCGCCCATTTCGTAAATAGGAACTGGACGGTCCCTACATGGAAGAAAATCTACCTGGTGATCTCTTCAATTTGCCGGAAGGATTCAAACGCATTATCTTTTATATGACACATACTTATGTACATGTATGTCTTCCTCTGAGGCATAGATATGCTATCAAGTTTTTGGTGCATGGAACTAAAGTTAACTATGCGGTCTCCATACAAAAGCAAAATAAACTGGTGATCTCTTTGACGGAAGGTTTCAACCGCTTTATCTTTTGTATGACAGATACTTGTGTCTTCTTCTGAGCTCATGAGGCATAGATATGCGATCAAGTAATAGATTGAGTTGCTTACTTCTTATAGTCAGTGCATGCAACTAAACGTGGCTATGTGGTCCCTAAACAAAAGCAGATCTACCTGGTAATCTTTTTGCCGGAATGATTCAACCTCTTTATCTTTTGTATGACACATATTAGGGTCTTTTTCTGAGGCATAGATATGCAATCAAGTAATGGATTGAGTCGCCTACTTCTTTTAAGTCGGTGCATGCAACTAAACGTGACTGTGCGGTCTCTATACAAAAGCAAACCTAACTGGTGATCTCTTTGCCGGAAGGTTTCAACCTCTTTATCTTTTGTATGACACATACGTGTGTCTTCTTCTGAGGCATAGGTATGCAATCGAGTAATGGATTGAGTCGCTTACCTCTTTTAAGTCGGTGCATGGCATGTAATTAAACGTGACTATGCGGTCCCTATACGGAAGTAAGGCTACCTGGTGATCTCTTTGCCGTAAGGATTTAACCGCTCTATCCTTTGTATGACACATACTAGTGTCTTCTTCTAAGGCATAGATAAAGTAATGGATTGAGTCGCTTACTTCTTTTAAGTCGGTGCATGCAACCAAACGTGACTATGCGGTCCCGTATACAAAAGCAAAACTAACTGGTGATCTCTTTGCCGGATGGATTCAGCCGCTTTATCTTTTGTGTGACAGATGCTTGTGTCTTCCTCTGAGCTCATGAGGCTTAGATGTGCAATCGAGTAATGGATTGAGTTGCTTAGTTCTTATAGTCGGTGCATGCAACTTAACGTGACTTTGCGGTCCCTTTACGGAAGCAAACTTACATGAAAATCTCTTTGTCTGAAGGATTCATTTATCTTTTATATGACACGTACTTGTGTCTTCCTCTGAGCATTGGTATGAGATCATATAAATAATATTCTTCTTATAAACGTGACTTTGGATGGAGTAAGTAGCGTAATCGCATAGGTTTGATTCACGTTTACTGGCCAGTGTAGGATGGGGACGGTCTTTTTATAGGTCACTGGAAAGGACCTCAGATCGAAGTCCTTGAACGGGATGTGGAATTTATGTGCGACCAGTTTTATTCTACCACGCAAATGTACATCATTGTTTTACGCTCATGTATAAGTCGTAAAAGAGGCATGTGCGGATGTGAATGGATGTCCTTGTTTTGTAACGTTGTTATTCTTAACCTGTCGGATTTACTTTCAAAGAGAGAGTGTGCAGTGAAAATAGGAAATGTCATTAGGAAGTTTGATATTGTTTGTAGCCAGGCAATGGAGGGTAAAAACTTCACGTCACTGCCTCCATCTCCTGCGTCATATCGTCTCGTCTGTAAAACCGGATTACTCGACGAATCTACAAAGGCTTCATTAGTCACGACCGCGGAAGTACCCATAATGAGACCAACCAGAGGAGAAATGAAAGACATACATGTAAGAGTACGAGTCTTGGTTAAACAGGCGTACGTTTAATGGACTATTAATAGGCACCAAGCGTAGAGGACATCCATTGAATTTTGATAGCAATAAACCAGCTGAATTCCGAACCCCGTCCGATGACTCCGGTATTACCTACGGGAACATCCAACGTGGCCTTCCGGTGAAACTCGTAAAACGCCATCCCCACCCGGTACATTACCCTACATTGCCTCGCAAAAGCTCACACGGCTGTGCTACTTAAATGATTCGCCGAATGATACAATGTGTGCCCCAGGAGGATGACCTATAGATGCCAGAGGAGTTTTAATGCTACCGCTGGGGTTTGGAAAGTCTCTAAAGTGTTATTCAAGCTACAGTACCAACTTCCACAAACTTATTTATATTCCACCGTTGGGTACTGGTCTACTTTACTTTGGCTTACCTCCAAATGTACAAACACGGGCAGAAAAATATAGTCTAGTCTTGTAACATAAAGGTGTCATTAGTTGACCTTGAGGTGAATATATCTAAAAGGGTTACAGACTCTACACTGTATAATAGGACACAGATTGCCCCACAGATTACGTAAAATATACATTGGTTTCTGGCACCTTTGCTTGTTACTCAATTTCCACCGTGCTAATAATGCATTAAGAGCCATCTCGGCATAGGGCTTAAGGTGCATATGCAGGAAGAAAACAAGTCTACAAAACTGTGGTGTCATCAGATAACGTTTTATGAATTCATTTCATCAACTTCATTATTTAATTACCGTCCATGGTGGTAATGGTGGTAGTCTGGAAACTGTTTTCAGTCTGGATGGTGTTGTGTATATCTGAACGTCCGTCGGACAGAATGGGATGGTATTTGGCAGGTGGGTAGATGGGGGCAAAGTGGGTTGTGTAGGTCGACTTTAGGCCCCTGGTAATTGACCTTGGTACTGCAGTAGGAATTTTTAAAAACATCTTTGGCGCGGGACGGTCTGTGGACCTGATGTGAAGGTGGTATATAGTAGTTGTACAGATAAGGGTTTCATGGTGTAAATTTGGTCCCCCTAGCTGTTTGCTGTGGATCTGCAGGGTTGTTTGCATTAATGATCTAAAGAGCCGCTAGATGGATTGTGACTCATCTTTGGTACGTGGGTAGTTGCTATGGGCCTTTGCGTCTTAGCATGCATTAGCAGGCTGTAGATTTGCAATGTGTTTTTAAAAAATCATTTTACACCCCTTTTTATAATAGAGTGGTGGAGTCTGTGTTGGTTTTGGCAGGTCATCGACCTCCAAATTACCCTAGCTGAATCTGTCTTTTATCTCTGGCATCTGCCTTCTACTTTTCGGGCTTCCTTCCCTGTCTCTGTGCCAGGACTTCATTTTATATGGCTTTGGAGCCGTCCTGACTAAAGTGGTCGAAAGGTGCATATTCAGTCACCTTCACAAAGAGGTGTCACCAAGTAACGTCTCATATAGAGGTCTAATGGACGCCACTGTAGGTAATCCTGGCACATATGGTTTCCAGCTATAGGTCATGATGTAATGTGCACATAAGCCTAAGGCATCTACTTTACAGTAGTAATGTCGTTCTGCATCAGGAGGAAATAAGTAAGTTTTAGTATATCTTATATGCTTTTGAGGACTGCCTGATGCATTATCAGCATCACAAAGTTTCATGATGCCCCCAAGGCTACAAAAGCCCTAATCTTCGTCAAGGTAACAAAGTGACCGATTTGAATGGTTACATGTTGCACGCCAGAATATGTATGTATAGAAAAACCTTTGGAATTGTATGAACAAGGTCAGCATTAAATAATAATAATTATTATTATTGCTAATATATCATAAATAATCATCGTTTGCTATGGTCGGTAGGGTAACCGGAAACACGACATTTTCGCCTCAGCCTAAAAAGATTTTATCTACCGTACTCTTCACTAAAACGTGGATTGACCAATAGTAGTAAATACCAGTACTGGACGTTACGATGGTAGTAAAATTACCGTAGTTGACTTTTATGGACTACTATAATTGTACAGTTTGTACCATGGTACATACGGCAAAGCAAATACAGCCCTACTTTAAATTTACTACTACTGGTAAATCTAAGTTTTCGTGCAGCGCTGACGCAGACAGAGAATTAAGCAGGTACAGGTATGAGGTAGGATTTGGTTCCCCGGTATGCAGTCTTATAGCTAATCGCGGAGAAAATTAGACTATCCATCACAGCCTCATTAATTTTTCCCCTCTTTCTGGGAAGGTTGGAGATAAAACTGGCAGTCAAACTCTTTACTCTGGCAGCTTCCTGGAACGGAAGGGCACCGGTCGGCGGACTTCCCGGAAATGCCCGATACACATAAAACTACTTCCCGGAACACACAGAGGTTACTACATATGCATACGTGGCCATAACTGAAATTCCTGTGTAATCCTTATAATTCTTGAAGCAGGCATATTGGAATTAGCAGTTCCATATACATGTAAGGGTTTACCATCGAATCTATTGGTATATCTACTTTACGTATGTGTTAAACTGGAGTGTTTGGCGTCTGTTGTTAAGAAGTTGTTAACATTAAAAGATCTTCGAACCCATGCTTCAAATAAACAATCAACCAAAACTGGTGCTGAAATCTTTAGAATGGCAAGTATGCCCTCGACATTTTCGCACATAAGAAGCTCTTTCCTAGTCCGGTGCACTAGTACGTAGACCATACCATGAGGGCCATTAAGTGGATTTGCCCACGGGCATACATTTAATGCAGCATGTTGAATTATCTTACTTGAATACTTACTTAGTTCAAGCTCCCGGTCTATTTCACAACAAGAACATGAATTTCTAATAACCAGGCTGATATAGTCGGGGTTAAGCAGATTCCGAAACCTTTGGTACCGGTAAAGTCTCGCCAACTGTTGCCCTTACTAAGCTTCACTGAACGGAAACTATAAGCGGCGCTGTTGCAATGAAATGACTCGCTGGCCGACCGCATGACATTTTCTTAAGGGTTAAAGATTCAGCTAACCTTTCCTTCGAGTTGAGTTGATCTCTTCGCAGTTCACACTTACTTAGTCATATTCCACCATCAGGTACTGGTCTCCTTTTCTTCGGCTTATCTTCGGCTTAATCTACTCCCTGGCCGTCCTTATGACATTTTCTTAAGGGTTAAAGATTCAGGTAACCTTTCCTTTGAGTTGAGTCGAAGATCTCTTCGTAATTCACACTCAAGTCGGTGCAAGTTTCAAATTGGCTTGTCATTGATAAGTCTAAACTAAATGCCAAGAGTTATGTAAGTACAATTACGAGTGAAGTTAATTTCTAAAAGGTTAAAGTTGTTATGTTCACTGGTTATGTTAACTGTTACCTTCTTACCAGGGATATCAGAAACCCTTGTAACAGTGGGTACTGCGTTTATTGTACTAGTCTATGATGTTATTTTGTACGTCAAATCCTGAAAACATCAGCAATACATGCATGTGGAAAAAATTTAAGATTCTGAACATGTGCTGGGCACAGTATTGGGGATAAGGATGGAGGACAGGGACGAGTGGAGAAAAAGAACCCATTGTCTCCGTTGAAGATATCCCTGATGTCTTCGCTCAAGGTTTATACCTTATAATATATATAGGGCATTGGGGAACTTATAAGTATGCTTCCCAGCAATTGTTGGAAGCAGAAGGGCAAGCGTTAGATAAATACTCTAAGCCAGGCAAGCATGCCACAACAGTAAGATAATCCCAACACCACACAAATCGTATCCAAAGTTCGTTGAAGAGATTCATTTGTCACGTGTATAGTTACAGTTACTAGAGAATTCTTTCAGCAGTGACAAGTTTTTGATGATCAGTCCATCTTGTTCACGGAGTGGCCTCTCCTTCAAAAACTTTTCACTGCTGAAAGAATTCTCTTGTAACTGTAACCAATCTTGTATTAGGATTTAAGGCCATGTTGATTTGATTATATGGATGACATCCTCTGGGAACCCCAAAACTGATGCGAGCGCGCGAATAAAAAAAAGTTGCTTTCATGAAATCTACGTTGTTATGAAGGTCGAACAAATGACACAGAGTATGTTATGGCGAATATTCTACTCTTTAAATTCATTTCTTTGTATTTTAGTTTTTTGTTTGATTTTGGCATTCTACGACGTTGGAATCGTTTTCAAATATTTTTTTTGCAACTTTCGGTATATATTTGCTCATTTTGCAACTGTTTTGTACAATTTACAGTGTGGTTGGAAACTTTTTTTTTTTGGAAACGGCCTAAAATTCATGCGCGCGTGGATGTCATCCATATAATCAAATCAACATGGCCTAATCAGGGTTTCCAATCAGTGTGTTTGGCAATGGCACGACGTGCATTTACCAATGCTGTACAGATCTTTTGATGTAAGTCTCATTTGGCTTAGTATTGGGATCCGGCTTAGCCAAGGATTTACGCTAGCTACCGAATCAGACGTAATTGGCAACTGTGCCACATATATAAGTCTTACAAATTCCTTGATTGATACCTCCAGGTCGAACCAATTGAACGCTGTAACAAATCAATCTCTTGATTAAAAAAAAAATACATTTTGCCTGAGTCTTATTCTTTGTCAAACAATGTGATTGACAGTTGTTACACTAAAACGTCACATAAAACTGCATCTTCACCATGAGACTTTGGTAAACATAAAATGTGAACTTCATAAAAGGACAAGGATAACAAAACAGTCAGTTACAAATGTATGCCCATTCTTATTAGCCTCAAGTCTAGTACGTATACTCAGCGCCATGTTAGCATTAGTTATTCTTGGGATAAATCAATTAGTTCGTTTACAAAACCTCATTTTCATAATTTAATGGGTGATTTCTGGCTCTACCAAATTGAATTTCTTTCTGTAAACGAAACAATAAAATGTCATTCATAATTATAGAAGACTTCGCAGATATGGATAACTGATTAAACTGCGTAAGAAAGGAAAACTCTACCTGTGTAGCGGCTGGGATGAAGGATGTCCGCCGCGGCATGTTGACAGTTGCAGGTCATCAGGATTATCAGGATGAGCCACGATTTCTCGTGCCCAGCGGCCATTGTTTCACACGCTGGCGCCCGCTATCCTCGCGAAGTCATGACACCAATCTGTAAGGACCACAAATCAACCCTTGTATTTTCGATGTTAAGCAATGCGTAACACATATCCAATCTAACAGGAAAACCCATTTACTTGCATAAGAAAATCCTTTTATCCGTGGGAAATGGATTTCCTGTAGGCTTGGCTGATTCATGGAATTGATAAGAAAATGAAATTATCTCAATGCAATTAAGACTGTCAAAGCGTATGGCTTCAAAAGTTGGAAATTAGTTTTAGATATGTAGTCAACGGTGGTGCAGAAAATTTGCTTACATATATGGTGTCTGTCTCAGGTGGTGAATAACATACAAAAGCATATCTTCTTTCACCGTAAGCGAATAGTTTGTCAAAGTAATGAATGGACCTTTGCTGATTGCATGTTGCGCGTGGGTGTAGAGAATTGTCAGAGATAAGAAAAGCCACCAAAGCTTGTTTTTATCACTGTCTACTGCCAGGTACTGAAGAATTGTTTGGCTGAGTGGTAGCTTAGTTTATCTGTCTGAACAGAGCAGATTGACAGCACGTGGGTTGGATAAGATTGACAAACAGAATAACACGAGGTCTAAAAGTCAAACACAATGAAAGGAATGAACATGAATCCCTCAGGAGCTAGCTGGAGTCCAGAAAATAGCAAATCTGCAATTCAGGAAGTAAGGGACCCCTCAGAAGTCTGGAGTTCAAGCTGCGTAAGCAGAACGTAAAGTACTTTTACAACTTAATATACATTGTGCTCTGCGCATCACTTTACGTGTGTTAAAAGGGTCAAAGCACATGGGGACCGGCCTCCTCACATTTACATCAGGGCGGCCTTATCATGTATCAACACCTGTGCCGCTTGTTATGCGGCGAGAGTTAGAGGTGGCTGCAGGATGATAAAATGCATAGATCGCATACACAGTTCTTTCACAGGTTGCTGACAAAGCGAAAAGATTCCATGGTTCTAAGAAATTACAATTCGTGATAACCTGTCCTTGTGGTAAAAATGATCTGTACCTCAGACTGTTCTCTTTTATGTTCATTTATGCTGATACAAAAAAGTAATGCTCTGGGCAAAAATGCAAACTTGCAAAAAAACTTTAAGTTTGCAACTATTCTTTCTCTATCTAGTTGAAGTTACTTAGTGTCTTAGTGTTTCAAAAGAAACACTGTTTTTGAACTCACAGTAGATTCCAGATACGTCTATTGGCTGAACATGCATCTATTCTGAATGATATTGTATTTTGTTACAATATGGCTGCTTGTTTCTCATCATCGTCTCGCTCATAATGCAATTTCGCTGCGGTGTAAAATGTTCCTAAGAATAATGTTCGGCGAACGTGCACACACTGTGTCAAATTACCGTCGCGTGAGCCTATTTTCCTTCACAGTGAACAGAAGGACATTTTCCTGTGGCAAAATTGATTCTATAAATACAGTTTGATTAGAGAATCCGTTTTTGGTCAGCGTGCTCTGGCTGAGATAACGATTTATATAACGTGTATTACTTAGCCAGGTGTATTATTATGTGGATGACCAGAATATCTCAATTGTTGACCTTAGCAAACTTTTCATCATTTCGTTTTATCTATCCCTTCTATTATATTAGTCTATTATTTCACCGATGTACACCACAGAAAATCTGACCACCAGTTTTAGTTGTTTATTTTTTTGCTCTTGAAGTTCTGTTGTTCTTAACGTTTCACTTTAAAGTCAGGCAGGTCCATCATCTGATATCATCCTCCAAACCCGTTGTTGTAATACTGTGGACTCCCCCAGGGTTCAAAGACGCAACCGAGATAGCATTCTTTCTGATCATTCCAATGTTTCCTAGTGATCCTACCTCCGCTTATTAGAAGACACAGCAGTATCTATCCCAGCATGTGATCACCAGAATCACCAAACAAGGCGAAACCAACAGTTTCTTCTCTTCCTGTTTTGCTGTCTGACCGAAGATGCCAGTACGCCCTATTTATCTATTTCAGCTTTATTTACAACAAAATGTAAAAAGGTTGGGGGAAACAGGAACACTCCTTTTTAATGCCCCCACCAATATAAACTGATAAGGATTACATAAATAATAAACAAAATAAACAATAACAAAAAGAATAACAACACTATTTACAAGGGTGATGACAAAGAATTAACAAATCATATAATGAACTTTGAAGTAAATAGAACGGCGAGCCAACGATAAATAATAAATCATTCGATAAGTAATAAATGATACATAACAGGTCAGCAGCAGTATGAGGAAAAACAGCAAATGAAAACAATAACGATGATAATAGTGATAATAATAATAATAATAATATCAATTAGTAACAACATTTGATTTGAAAAGGTACCTAGCAAAATAATTCAAATGAGTAAATAAATAAATCATAATAATGATAACAAGATATCTGATTGGGGTGATTAGAATGGAGAACACTTGCGACAAGGACGCCCTGTGGATATCCCTTACGTCGATTACACAGCATCACGCAACAAACAGGATGTGCTTTGTAATCAGAATAATTAAACATTGCGCACGCTGGAAAAACAAACATCCGTGCATGGAATGAAAAAGCGACATGCTTGTTTTGACGTGTTCCCGTGTACAATGGCCAACTGAAAGTTGCCGCTTGGATTCTTGCAGATGGTTTGTTATAAGTATTAGAAGCAACGTCCAACAAGTTTACAATGAAAAGCATTTATAATTATAAAAAAATTATAATTATGATATAATTATGTTCATTGTTGGCTCGTCTTTTTCATGTTACTTGCAGTTGGTCTTGGGGCAAGGTTTTGCAATGAAGGTGTTATTAATATGATGACTACCTACGCTAACACCAAAGCTTTAAAAAAAACAGGTATAGAGGGCAACTCAGGACCACACTTTTTTTAATCTATTTATTAAAGCACATAAAAGAAAATACAAGACTGCGATGGCAACGGACTTAAGTTAATTACACCCATACAAGCGCCGCTATCGAACATAAAATAGTCACAAAGATATAATGCACTTGATGGAGGGACTGTACCCATCCGGCCGTGGCCATACATGAGATTCTTTATTGACACAAGAAAAAAGTACAGGGACTTTTGTATGGTCTTCTACAACTGAAGATCGATATAGTCCATGACCTACGGGCACAGATGGGCAGTGGGCCATAAGTAAGTCAGTAAGTAAGCTACGTCTAACCCGTCGGCGCCCAACGTCATCCTCCGGAATTCAATCAGCTAATGGAATAAGCCAATTCTTATTACCCTCCTATTTCCATTAGGCAATGTTTGCATGGCTCTTCAACGTCCATTAGCAAATGGCAAACAGAAAGTACAAAGCAAATACTTTGTGAGAATGTACTGTGGCTTGCCTATGGTCATTTGTGCATTAGAAAAAAACATTTTTACCACCTTTACGTAGGTGTTGTTTCCGGTGTTTTTCTGTATCAGTGTAGCCGTATAACGCGTAACACACCGCTTCGCGCGGCGGCAGCTAGCTATATCACACAGAACGGCTTGTTACACTCAACCTTTGCAAATTTAATTTCAGGAGTTGTTTAAAGCTTTCTAGTGATGATGTCCCAACTGTGCTTGGTGGCAACGATTTTCAGTCTACGATAGTTCTTGGGAAATACGAGTTTTTGAACACCTCAGTTCTTGGTTGATATCTCTGATATTTGAAGGCATGCCTGTTTCTTGTTCTTTTCTGGGCAAGTATGTTTGTATATTTGCCTGCAGGTTCGTAGTGAGCAGCATATGTAGGAAGCTAGCGAGGAATTGTGAATACCACAGACTGACGAGGATGTTGATATTGAAATAAAAAAAACGAAGGCTATAAAAAATGAGGGCTAGGAGAAATCGAAGTCAACGGTACGTTGGAGGAACACAAGCTCAAGACATGCAGAGAATTTCACTTGCAGAAAATCAGACGGAAATTCACCCAACTTGTATAAAGATGTCACTTTGGCATGTTCATTTATCATCCATGGTGCCAACTTTAAATAGTCTCGATTCATATCATGTAAGGACATCTGTAGGGACGAGCATTACCCGATCGATATCAGGACCCTTGCCTTGCTTTCAAATGTAGGTATAGCAATTAATGGAAAATGTGATTGATGTGAATCCTCAAGCCATAGACCGTTGTCCACCCCCAAAGAACATTTTTTTTTTCATTTTAGGGTAATCAGGTTGGATTATGTAAATCCCTTCTTGATCTTCACTTCTCTCCACCTCTTATCAGTAAAGGCACAGGAGGCATACAAAGTACCTTTTGTAGACGTAGCTATTTTATCATTTCTATCAAAAAGGTTATGGTTTAACTTAGATTTACTCGTTTCTTTTGTACTCCGGAATTTCCATCTTCCATGAATTAAGTTAACATACTGCACGAAATATAGGATTTACCAATAACTAAATATGAAATATAATTCTCTTGAACATTTGATTTCTTAATAGAGCGACCAGTATCACATTTACGTGACATGTATCGCTACTGCTTAAGCATCCATTCACAAGCAACCCGTCGAACGTACCTGGGCCATGACTACGTAGTAGCTAAAATAAAATCTGTAGTTAGACATGCAGGGCTAACTTAACAAAAAGTAGGATCTACTACCAATAGTGGTTAATATACACAAAGCAACTACATTGTGGCATAGTTTATTGTCTAAAGCAACAATTATCAAACTTATTTGATATTCATCATGATACTTTATATACAGTGTCTTTTGTTCACAATGACAAGTGAAAGTTTAGATCCGAACAGCACACCATTCACACAGCATGCGTTTCGTTATACAACTATGTCCAGCTGTAGTATAAAAATATATTATTGTGAATGGCACAAATATTATTTCGAGACTGGACTGCCAATTGTGATTGTAGATGGCACCAAGCGAAAGCAGAAATGTGCTAGGGACGTACCTATAAATTACTACTTAATCTGACTTTTTCCTGTCAGTACTGTGCCATATGCAGGTAATTAGGCAGGATTTCCGGTCAATCAACAACGCGGAACTCAACAATTGATCTCTATTGATTT